CCCTGTTCCACGCCGCACCTCCAGCACTCCCCGGGGATTGACTCGTGGACATGACGTAATACATCTGGGGTTCTGTGCCAACCCGTTAAGATTTTGTAGTTACATTCCTGGTATTTGGAGCAGATGCTCCCTTTGTGCGTCAGCATAAAGATTTTGTCCCACTCGCTGTCCGTGAGACTCGTTCCCGTCTCTTGTTCCCAGCGCTTGGTGAATCCCAGGGGGGTCCCGCCGCTCTGCAGCTGGAGCATGGCATACAACGTGGACCATGCACGAGGTGTTGCCTGTCCACGCATGCCTGCTCCAGCGGTAGCAGTGTTCTATGGATGTTGCCTTTTCCCGCTAGGGAGAGGTAATACCTGTGCACTTGGTGGTAGCGGAATTCATCCAATCCGGTCGGGGTGTGTTCTGGGATTAGATCCTGTAGTGGTTTGAGGGTTACCTCAGTACACCATTGCCGCAGATAGGTCCATTCCGTCGCCGCGTAGCTCTCGAGGTCCGCCCGCTTAAGTCCTCCCGCAAGCCGCGGGTTGTTTGTTATAGGAATCAGCGGGTTTGGCATCGTGGTCAATTGCTTTACGTATCTGGTCCTACACCACACACGCATTGTGGAGTCTATCATTGGATTACCCGTGTGAATGTCACCCAGGGCCGTGCCGTCCAGCCACAGCAGGGAGGGAATCCGTCCTTGCGCTTGTTGACGCTCCATGTCCACCCACTGCTTGGCGGTCGGGAACACGTGCCAATCCACCAGGCGGCATAGATGGGTCGCCTGGTAGTAGGTGATTACCGATGGGAGACCCGTGCCCCCCGCATGCTTCGGTCGTTCCAGAACTGACCTGCCAATACGAGCCACTCCCCGAGTCCAAACAAAATTCCGTATGGCGGTTGTTAGGGACTGAAAGAACGATCGCGGGATACACGTCGGCAGCGTCTGGAACAGGTAAAGGATTCTTGGCATTGCGTTCATCTTAATGGCATTGATCCGCCCGAACCAGGAGATGTATTGTGAAGTCCATTTTTTCATGTCCCTCTGTAGGGTCGTGAGAAGAGGTGTAAAGTTGAATGTGTATACGTCTTTTAAGTCGTTTGGCAGCCATATTCCCAGATATTTGAGCTTCGACTGGCATACCCGGAATGGAAAGTGCTCGCGAAGGTGCCTCAGCATGGCGTCTCCTGAAGTCAGTGGCATGGCCTCCGATTTGTCTAGGTTGAGCGAGAGGTTCGAGACCACAGCATACTCTTTGAACGCTTTCAACAGGTTAGGTATTGAGATCCGAGGCTGTTCCAGGAAAAATAGCATGTCGTCCGCGTAAGCCGCCACTCTATGTTCTCCCCGGCCCACGCGGAGCCCCGAGATACCCCCGTCCCGTCTGACCGCCTCCAGAAATGGTTCTAGAGTGAGGGCAAACAGAAGGGGGGACAGCGGGCATCCTTGCCTCGTACCGTTGCAGATCGTGACTGGATCAGAGAGTGCACCATTGACCCTGATTCGCGCCGACGGTCTCGCGTATAAGACCTCCACCCAAGTGCGGAGGTGCTGCCCAAATCCCATATGCCTTAGTGTCTCCAAGAGGAACGTCCAGTCCACGCGATCAAACGCCTTCTCAGCGTCTGTAGATAAGAGCACCAGCTCCCGCCTGTTTGTCCTCGCCACGTGTATGACGTTTAGGGCTCGAATCGTATTGTCCCGGGCTTCCCTACCCGGAATAAATCCGACCTGGTCGGAGTGTATGAGGTCAGGCGCCACCCGAGCCACTCGCAATGCCAGAGCCTTGGCGAAGACCTTCAGGTCCGCGTTTAATAGCGAGATGGGCCTGTAGCTCGCGCAGTTCGTGGGGTCCTTGCCCTCTTTTGGGATGAGCGCTACCGTCGCCCTTAACGTGTCCGCCTGGAACCGGCCTCCCGTGCGCAGTGAATTGCACCCCTCTAGGAGTCTCGGCAATAGGACCTCCCTGAACTCGCGGAGGTATCTCACCGGCAGGCCATCCGGGCCCGGGGCCCTGTTGGGCCGGGCTGCTTTCAGTGCTCCCGCAAGCTCCTCCAGTGTCATAGGTTGATCGAGCTCAGCTTCCTGCTCCCGGGTTATCTTGCGGGCCACGTGTCTGCCCAGGTAAGCGGCGACCTGCACCCCATGCCGCCTTCTCTGGGATTCGGACCGGGTGACAGCTAAATCGTACAATGCCTCGTAATATTTTTGAAATGCTCGCAGGATGCCATCCGGGAGGTGAGTGACTGTTTGCCCCTGCGTGCGAATCTTGTGTATATGCTGCGCCCTCCTCTTATCCTGGAGCATTTTTGCGAGTAGCCTGCCACATTTGTTGGAATGCTCGTAAAAGAACCTTGCCGCCTTACGCGCAGTATGTAGCATGCCCTGGGTTAGTATGGTGCGGAGCTCTCGCCGTGTCTCCGTCAAGAGGCAATAGGTCTCGTCATCTAACGTGCGTTTATGTGCCTGTTCCAGCTCCGCCACCCTTCCCGCCAGCCGAACCAGTCGAGCTGTGCGTTCCTTTTTGCGCTTCGTGCTGATCGCTATGATGCGTCCCCGGATGACACACTTGTGCGCCTCCCAGAGCGTCAGTGGGGCTATCTCTGGCGAGCTATTACTGGTAAAGTAGTCCGTCAGTGCTTGTGACACCTCTGCCACCACGAGGGGATCGTCCAACAGGGTCTCATTGAACCGCCATTGCCTTTCCGTGGGTTTGAAAAGGGGGGCACTCGTATGTACTATCATGGGCGCGTGGTCTGACTGTTCCATGCTCCCTATCTCCGACCCCTGCAGCACCGCCAAATACTCTTGCGCCAGGAATACGTAATCTATGCGGCTATAGTGGGTGTGGACCGTCGAGTAGTAAGTGTAATCCCTATCCTCGGGATGGTTCGCCCTCCAGCAGTCCACTAGGCCCAGTTTGTGCAGGGAACGCAGAGTCACCCTCAGGCAGTGTGTGGGGATAGTGCTAACCCCCCTGGACGTATCCCTACGAGGGTCCAACGGGAGGTTGAAGTCACCCGCCACCACCAGCAGTCCCTCTCGAAACCTCCCCAACTTGGCCAGCGTCTGCCCGATGAACGTATGTTGCCGTCTGTTGGGGCAATATAGGCACGCAAGGGTGTATGTGGTGTCCGCTATATTGCCTTTGATAAACAGGTACCGTCCCTGGGGATCCGCCTGTAGGCCCGTGCAGCGAAACTGTATCGTACTCGCGAACAATATCGCCACTCCAGCCTTTTTGGCCTCCGGGTGGTTGGCATAAAACCCGATGGAATATCGTTTATCTCCCAGCTTCGGGGCATCCCCTTGACAAAAATGCGTCTCCTGCAGGAACACCACGGACGCTCTCGCGGCCCACAGCCGCCGCATAAGCAAGGAGCGCTTCTCCGGGATGTTGAGGCCTCTAACGTTGAGGGACCAGAATGTTAGTCCAGCTGGTGTGAATCCCGTGCCGCCCCGCCGCGCCCCGGAGGGGGGATCCGCACTTGCCATAACCCCGGTGCGACCCACAGGGGGGAGACCGCGAGGGAAGCAGCAACGCAGGGCGAGAAGAAAGGGAAAAAAAAATAAAATAAAAAATAAAAAAATAAAAAAAGGGAGAAGGGGAGTCGGGAAAGTACTTATTAAGGATGTGACTGTAACCCTGTACCGGTTTTCGTCAGTCAGTTGTGGAACGTCCCCTCCGTCCCCAAATGCCCCGGTATTATGTACAGTATGGGTCTGTCACAGTGAGGTTCTACCGTGTCTCCGTCTATATGGAGCGGTCTCAGTCGTCTATGTCGTGCCTACCCTCTCCTCCCGTGGCTCCCAACCTGTCAGAATAGCTATACTCCCGTGTTTGCCCTGGGGGAAGCCCACCATCACGTCTGCAACCGCCTCGTTCTCTAGAGGCCCACGGGCCCCTCCGGCCCGCAACGGCCAGCCCTGTTGCACTGTCTTCCACCTCCAGGCTGCCTACTCCTCCCATCTCGACCCTCCGGTGCTTCCGCAGCCAACCGTGCTCTCCTCCTGATCCCCGATCCCACCTGCCCCCTCAGTGCCTCTACCCTACCCTGGGTGAGCCAGAAATACAGGTGTCTTACCCCCTGCCATCCTTCCACCACCCCAGGCCATGTCTCACCTGCCCCCCCCTGTTGCCGCCCCGTCTGGGCTTTTTCCATGAAAGTACCCCCCTCACCGCAGGAATGCCTGCGCCCCTCATCAGGCGCTTCAGCTATCCCATCCCTCCCCGCTCTCCTACCGTGGGCCAGGTTAAGGCTTGACCCCGACCAGCTAGCTTCCGCTCCTCCCCTCTCTCGACCACTCTCAACCTTCCTCTATCTCCGTGCTTCCTCCGTCCGCCGGTTCTAACGGTGTACCCGTTGGGGGTGGAAAAAAAAAAAAACAAAAACAAAAAAAAACCCCAGCATGCCCACGGCACTCGAACTATGTACACTCCAAGCTACCACCCACAGCTCCCCTCCCGCTGCCACTAGTGCGCCATGTGGATGTTGAGACAACCCCCCATACTCCTGGGCATACAGCAACTGCACATACCCCCGAAGACCCCCCAGGTCAGGTCCAGCAGTCTCTCCCCGATTCCCAACGGACGCCAATGTGCATCCCGTGGCCCGTTCCTCCCTCCCCACCTCTCTTTCTCCCCCGTCCAGCCCCCCCTCTAGTGAGCCACCATCACTCCCGTGGGCCTATCTCAAACCCCCCATACCCCCCACCCAACCTGCTGGAGCCCCGGGGGTACCTGCCCTCCATATATCGTCCACCCTGCCGTGTCTCTGCTCAGCTCCGTTGCGGCTGGGGCCCGGGGAGTCCGGGTCCCTGCCGGCCAGGGCAGCGGTCCGTCGTCTATTCCTCCGGCCCCGCTGGGCCACCTCTGCGTTGCTGCGATCCAGACGTTGGGTGGAGATTATGGGCCACCTCCGCCGGTCCTGTCGCTCGCGCCGGTGGTCCCTCCAGAATCCAGTTCGGGATACGCATCTCCGGTAAACCAGCCGCCACTAGAAAACGCGGTACCTCATTCGGCCATCGGATGCTGTGCCACGTGGCTCCGATCCGCGCCTGTAGACTAAAGGGGAACCCCCACCGGTAGGGAATCCTCCGCTCCTGCAGCAAGCGAGTAAGTGGTCTCAAAGCTCTCCGGGTGTCTAGAGTGATCGGTGAGAGGTCCTGGTATAGCGAGACCTCAGCGTCCATGTATAGGATCCGTGGCTGCGCCCTGGCCGCTTGCATGATGGCCTCCTTAAGCTGGAACGAGGCCAGGGCGCAGACCACGTCCCTTGGTAGGCCATCTCTCCTGGGTGCTCTCAAGGCCCTGTGGGCTCTCTCTATGCCAAAATCCTCCGGGGCATTCTCCCCCAGCAGCTGCGCGAAGAGGCCTGTGAGTATCTCTTGTGGCACCTCTCCCTCTGCTTCCGGCAGGCCCCGGATTCTGATATTATGTCGCCGTCCTCGGTTGTCTAAATCCTCAACTTGCCGCCGGAGATCTAACAGGATATTCCCCTGCCGGGTAGTAGCCAGGTCCGTGGCCTGCTGGCGCTGGTCGGCTTGCAGGCGGCCGGTCTCAAGCCCATCTACACGCTGCTCCAGGGCATTGAGGTCAGTCCGCAGCACCGCCACCTCCTCCCTGATGATGGCGCGCAGTTCAGACACCATGTCCGCCTTGTCTGCGCGCGTTAACATGCTGGCTGTAATTCGGGCGACGTCTGCTGCCAGTTGATGCAGGGTACCCGCCATCGGGGAGCCTCTACCTGAGGTGGTGGCGCTTGATCCAGGGGATGTGGGGCCCGGGGTGTCAGAGTCCCCGCCATCTCGGAGGCCTCGTGGCGTCGCCAAAAACCCGTCCATCGGGCCAGGCGGGTATCGGGTCCCCGTCGGGCCGGAGTGGTCCTGGGATGCTGCTCTTCTAGTCTTCCCCATTGTGGAACGAAATACCGCTGAATTCAGGCTGTGACACCAGGCTTGACAGGCTGGGGCCTAGGAGCTCTGATGGAGTGCGACTTACTCCATTGACGGTCAGGCCACGCCCCCCCTGTAGAGGTCTTTGAATTCCCCAATTCAGCCCATCTGCATCCATTAAAGGGAAACTATAGAGCTAAAAATAAAAAATTGTATTCCTAGCACTCCAGTACCATCCTACCTCGCAGCCCATCCCGATTCCAGCACCTATGTCCCTTGGCGCTGTGTAAGGCTCCTCCTCTGTCAACACCAGCTTAGGGGATCTAATGTGCATGCACAGCAAATGCACTCTAACGCATTGGCTCAATGCTTTCCTGCGAGATTTTAGCAGACGCTCAATGTCTTCATGCAAAGCGTGTGGACATCCAGCTACATTTAGCGGATGAAAAGTCTGCTTAGGACTCAGAAGCCCCTCTTGTGGCTGTCTGGTAGACAGCCACTAGAGGTGGAGTTAACCCTTCTAGGTAATTATTGCAGTTTCTTAATAACTGCAATACTTACAATTGCAGGGTTAACGGGACAGGGGTACTGTACCCAGACAACTTCAATGAGATGAAGTGATCTGGGTGCCTATAATGTTCCTTTAAGGTAGCAAGCCAGAGAGATAGCCTCAGCGGGCAGCATGTGTGACAGTCTTATCTTCCCAATCAGCGGGAGAAAAACACCAAAAAGTCAATGTTTCCATGCTTTATTTTATTAATGAAAGTTTTTAAAGTTTGACATGCTATATTACTGCTTTCTCCTTTATATTTTCTTCTGATTGGAGGATTACAGAAGGGTGTGATGCTGTGATGCTTCTAATACGGAGCCAATATATTTAGGCGCCTGTCCAGGTGTGTGGATCCAATTACCATTTACATACATATCTTTAATGGTTACAATCTGCACTAAATTTGTTTTGTTTTTTATACACCTGGTGTGCTTCCTGGTTTATACCCCAATAATAAGGGTAGGCAATTCTTGGTTTTGCACAATCTAGTGCTCCACTATTTTTTTATAGGTTTTTATCACCTTTGTAAAAGACTTAATTTCAGCAACCAAACAGGAAATAAGGGGCCAATATTAATATGTAAAATAATATTTAAGATAAAATTGTAAGGATTTTAACATTGACTGAATGTTCATAATAAAGGTGAGATCAGAGTCGGAGATCTTGCGGGTTGAGAGTCTTGAGACTGAGTAAATGACTAGGAGCACCATTTATCGATATTCAAAAGTCATAGATGCTTTGTTTTTCTATCATACCCATCTGTTTACCTTCGATTTTGCGATCACATACAGGCCCCCACTGAAACATTTTTCTACCACAAATCAACACTTTATAACACGGACATTACTTCAGCTATTCACATATAATGTGCTACCTGCCCCAACACAATCAGTATGGCAGACATTTCTAACAAATAATTGCTTGAAACACACAGTTTTATACATACATTTATTTTATATACTATATGCTACATATATAAACTCTAGCTGAACAGTACAGACAATTCCCATACCCCCCCAAAAAACAAGTCATCTTTTAATTGCAGTTTGTTAGAACAATGGACAAATTGATGTCACAGGCTGACCGTGAATGTTTTTAAAACCCTCAGTCAACCAGCTTTCCTTATACGCAAAATAAATCAGACAAGAGCAGGGTTATAGCTCAGCCAAAAAAACAAGGCATATTCACTGGCACAGATGGAGATCTGGTTAAATTAAAGGACAAGTGTCATCAAATTTTCACTTCCAAATTATTTAAAAGTCTTATTACCCTAAATGAAACTTAAATGATGTAGATTGACTTTTCTGAGACAATTTCACTTTATCTGGCTGTTATGTGACCATCTGCAGCTCCACCTCACTTGCCTGTTGCGACTGCTCTGTGTGAAACTGCGGCAGCAGACAAATTAGGTGGAGCAGCAGTTTGACAGATAACAGTAGAGTCTGATCCAACATGACTGCTCAGCCAGATGAAAAAAGTTACATTGTATTTAACACACAAAAAAATCCCACCAATATAAATACATTTTAAGAAAAAATAAATAAAGTTTAATTAAATGTAATAAACTTTTTTAAAAAACAAGTGAAAATTTGACGACAGCTATCCTGTAAGTTATCAGCCGTGACAGTGTTTAAAAGGTTATTAAGGCAGGAAACCTAAAAACACTTAAAGGCATCCAGCATTAGTCCTCTTCTTCATCCTCTATACGGAGACGTTTCTTTTTTGTTGGTTTAATGTCTTCCTCCATCTCTGAATCAGACCCTGCTCCTGTGTGACCAAGCTTCATTGAAGCTTCTCCTAAAACAAATATGAATAAAAATGACAAGGTTAGTGCTTTGCACATCCTTCCTTCAAAAGTGCAACATTAAACATAAATATATTATTATTATTTATATAGCGCCATCAAATTCTGCAGGACTTTACAATGGGTAGATGAACAGACATGTAGCTGTAACCAGACAAGTTGGACACACAGGAACAGAGGGGTTGAAGGCCCTGCTCAATGAGCTTACATGCTAGAGGGAGTGGGGTAAAATGACACAAAAAGGTAAGGATAGTATTAGACTAGTGACAGTTGCAGAAGAGGAATCATTAGGGAGCTATTAACAGTTTAATTGATACGCTTTTATGAAGAAGTGGGTTTTTAATGATTTTTTGAAGGAGGGGAGACTCGGTGAGCATCTAACTGAGGAGGGAAGTGAGTTCCACAGGAACGGTGCAGCCCTCGAGAAATCTTGAAGGCGAGCATCAGAGGTGGGAGTACGGACAGAAGATAGACGTAAGTCTTCAGCAGATCGTAAGGGCCTAGACGGGACATACTTGCGTATAAGGGAGGATAGAGAGGAGGGAGCAGCATTATGTAGCGATTTAAAAGCAAGAACCAGAATTTTAAATTGAGCTCTATATTTTATAGGAAGCCAATGTAGGGACTGACAGAAGGGTGAGGCATGGGAGGTGCAGGCAGACAGGAAGATGAGCCTCGCCGCCGCATTCATTATGGACTGTAATGGCGCAAGTTGGGAGCACGTAAGACCACTGAGAAGCAGATTACAGTAGACAAGGCGAGAAAGGCGTTAAGTAGGGTGGATGCGCGCAATGTTTTTGAGATGGAAATGACAGGATTTGGCGATAGACTGAACATGAGGCTTGAAGGAGAGGTCGGAGTCAAAGAGAAGACCTAGGCAGCGAGCCTGCGTGGTGGAGTTGATGGTATCACCGCTGACTTGGAGGGAGACCGACACAGGAGTAACAACACTTGAGAGAGGAAAGACCCAGAATTTCAGTTTTGGTCAAGTTGAGTTTAAGGAAGTGGGCAGCCATCCAGTTATAAATAGCAGAGGCAGTCAGAGGCACTAGTCAAGAGGGAAGGGGAGAGATCAGGAGGGAACAGGTAGATTTGCGTGTCATCTGCATAGAAATTATATTGGAAGCCAAAGGAGCTAATGAGTTTACCAAGGGAGGCAGTATAGATGATGGAGAACAGTAGGGGACCAAGGACTGAACCTTGGGGGACACCAACAGAGAGGAGTTGGGGAGAAGAAGCAGAGCCAGAAAAAGAAACACTGAAAGAGCGCTGGGAGAGGTAGGAGCAGCACCAGGAGAGAGCAATATCTTGCAGACCGATATTGCGGAGGATGAGAAGCTGTTGATGATCAACAGTGTCAAAAGCCGCAGACAGGTCAAGGAGAATTAGGATAGAGTAGTGACCACGAGATTTTTCAGCGAGTAGATCATTGGATACTTTGGTCAGTGCCGTTTCCACAGAGTTTTTAACCAGACTGAAGCGGGTCTAGCAGAGAGTTGTACTCAAGGAAGTCTGTCAATCTCACATACACAATTATTTCAAGGATCTTGGATGCAAAAGGCAGTAGCGAGATAGGACGATAGTTGGATGGGGAGTCAAGGTTGGGCTTCCAGTTGCATGTTTGAAGGGCGATGGAAATATACCAGAGGGGAGAGAGAGATTGAGAATTTTAGTGAGATGTGGAGAAAGAGAAGAAGACAGAGTACGGATGAGATGCGAGGGAATTGGATCTAAGGAGCAGGTGGTGGGGCGGGAGGACTGGAGCAGAGCAGAAACCTCTTCCAATGTAGCGGGTGCGAATGAACAGCAGAGGGAGTGAAGTTAGGGGAAGTATTGTAAGGGGAAGAAGAAAGATGAGAGATCTTTTCTCTGATTGTAGAGATCTTGTCAGTGAAGGGAGTTGCAAAGTCTCATGATAGCAATTCTTAAAGGAGTGGGTTTAAATAGGCGGACAGTGTGAACTTCAAAAGAAAAGGATAGGGCAGGGGGAGATATGATTTGTTGAAAGGTACATTGAGGGGAGAGAAGGATGCCTATGCCGCCTCCTTTACAGTTGAGTCTGGGAGTGTGAGAGAATTGTAGCCCACCAAAACATAAAGAGGCAGGAGTAGCGCTATCAGAGGGGGACAGCCAGGTCTCTGTAAGTGCAAGCAGTGTGAGTGAGTTTGAGATGAAAAAGTAGTGTATGGTTGTTGATTTTAAATTACTGCAGATGGAGCGGGCATTCCAGAGTGCACACTGAATTTTGGCAAGTGAGGGTAAAGGGCAGGATATTATGATGAGGTTTGCGGGGTTTCTGGTTGTCTTAGTGTGTGTAGAGAAGGTGAAGGGCCCTGAATTGGGAGAGATATCACCAGCTGCTAGAAGCAGGAAGAGAGAAAGTGACAGGAGGTGTGAATAGGTTTTGTATGCATGGGGTCTAGGATGAGATAGATTGTGGGTCGGAGTGAGAGAGTAGAAAAATGAGTTTAATGCATGAGATGAGAGAAGGGGGGGGGGTGTAGCAGAGAGGAGCATATTTAAATGTGGATGGGGGGATGAGTGAAGTGGGTGTAAGGAGAGATTTTTTTTTACTAAGGGAGACTGAGGAAATAAAGAGGAGGAGAAAACAGATCATTGCTAAACTGTGAAAAATAAAAATGGGAAAAAATTTGAATATTAAGAGCAGGTGAAGGTAGGAAAAATATGTTTTATGGGTTAAGAAAGTGCTGGAGTGTACTAATAAGAGGCATTTTTTTTCGTTTTTTTTTTTTTTTAAATCTAACTACAATGTGGGTGTGACAATCTATAAATGTAATAATGAGCATGGGATGGGATGGTGTGGGGAGGGGAGGCTGAGCATCAGGCTTGCTCACAGAAGTAATGGGCTTGCAAAGTTGGGGAATCAGGCTGTTGAATAAAGAGATGTGAGGGTCAGAGACCTTGCAATAAAGGTACGGGAGGGGGATATGTATCTAGGTACAGAGATGAAGAGATGGATATTCAAATGTTCTAAAACAAACCTTGACTTTCTGTTGCTAGATCATCTTCATCATCACTGTCAACCAGTTTGCTTCTTTTTACTTTTGGTCTAAATAAAAATACATACATTAATTCCCTGCATACAAGTGCTACAAGATAAGTCTATAGAACATTTCAACAATCAAAGAAGAATTACCTATTACTTTTAGGTTTGTTTTCAGAAGAGGTATCTAATAGCTGCTGGTCAGTTTCTTTCAGTTCTAAAACAGAATAAGTGCGATCAGCATACAAAATAAACACCTACTAATATTTACTCAAAGCTAAAAATTAATCGTATGTATGAGACCAAAAAAAAAAAAAAGTGTAGAACAAACCTTCATTAATTACTAGTTCCTCATCCTCACTGTCCACCACATGCGTTCGTTTAAACACTCTCTTTGGTCTACAAAAATTAAATCAATGAATATAAAAAAGAAAAATTGGGAAGAAGAAAATATTCAAACAAAAAACACAGCTCTAAAAAATACAGTAAACATTTGAAGAAGTAAAGACTAACAAAGTGGGAATTTATTTAATGTACCAGGGTTGTGATTAATTTACAAGGAAATTGCTTATTTAATGCCAATCTAGTTAAGCTGGAAAAAGGCTGACCCCCCTCCCAATTTGGCATAAAAGTTAACATTTCTTTGCAGACCTAATAAACACCAAGAAGAAAAAAAAAAAAAAGTTTTTGCACCATAACCACTGCAGCCCATTGTTGAGTTAAGCAATACAGACAGCAAAGAGAGTGGCTAGCCATAGGTACTTTGATGAGCCTAGTTTTCTTTTGTCAAACCATTTAAAATGGTATGCCACAACCAGGTGATTTCTCCTACATCCTACTAGCACTATAACCACTATCATAGACTGTATTAGCTTTGGTGCTTACAACGCTACTTAAAAAAAAAAAAAAATATATATATATATATATATTTATATTATCATGCATGCATGTAAACAGAGGGATCATGACAGAGTGCCAAGATTGAACTGAGAAATCCCATGTGTGGAGGACATGTCCTACTTTGTAAAGCAGCAGTCTGGTCTTCCATCAGACGGATCTCCTCCACACAATCCATTACATTACATTAATTCCCTTCATAGTAGCACTACAAGATTATTTCCATAGAACATCTCAACAATCAAAGAAGAATTACCTATTACTTTTAGGTTTGTTTTCAGAAGAGGTATCTAATAGCTGCTGGTCAGTTTCTTTCAGTTCTAAAACAGAATAAGTGCGATCAGCATACAAAATAAACACCTACTAATATTTACTCAAAGCTAAAAATTAATCGTATGTATGAGACCAAAAAAAAAAAAAAAGTGTAAAACAAACCTTCATTAATTACTAGTTCCTCATCGTCACTGTCTACCACATGGCTTCGTTTCATCACTCTCTTTGGTCTACAAATAATTAAATCAATAAAATTTGAAGAAAAAAAACAACAAAAAAAACACACTGGAAGAAGAAAAAATATTCAAACAAAAGACAGCACTAAATGTATATGCAAGAAAAAAAATACAGTAAACATTTAAAGATGTAAAGACTAACAGTATTTTTTTTTTTTCACTTGTACCAGGATTTATGAAGAGCTTAGAATAAAATTTCTAACTATAGGCCAAAGTAGTTAAGTGGAAAAAAACAACAACTGACTTTTACAATTTTTCAAATTTATATGGATAAAGTTGTGTTTAGTAAGGTGAATTTTTGAGGATTTTAACGCAGGGGTATGTGAGAGAGCGTAGTTAAGACCGTGGTTTAGTTAAGAGCGTGCTTTTATTTGTACCAGTGACACCATATGTAATCTATGAATGTCCTACAAATTTGGTCAAAAAAGGCCTGGAGGACAATGACTGGGAGGGTCTGTAATAAATATAAGTAGCAAGGCAGTACATTTATCTTGAGAACATTTACCTTACCAAGCCAGGAAATATGAAGAAGTGACCAAGCACGCAAGTCCCTTGCCCAGAAGGGGCGGAAAATTGAGGAGCAATATGAGAGTAAGATCAGCCATGAGCCAGACTCCGAGGTACTTTATATTACTTCCTTACACAACTAGAGGGGGAATGCATGTTTAAGGGTTGTTATCAATGTACGATTGCAGCCGATGCCCAGTTAATATTCAGATTTGAAAGAGGACCATAACATTCAAACTCCATTATGGCAAATAATGAGGTGGCCAGATTTGTTACTGAAAATATGAGATCTCTCTCATATGCGGAATTTCAACTCTCTCCCCACTTCCTGCTATTGCCAGCGATTTGAGAGTGCTCGCGGATCACATTCAAGAATGGTTCTAGTCTGAGAAAAAAAAAAAAAACAGGGGCGATAGAAGGTACCCTGACGAGAGCCATTTCTGATTGCAAAAGGCTTTACTAAGGACTCCGTTGACATATACTCGTACCGATGGGTTAGAGTAGAGGGCTTTTATCCATGTCAGCATATTCGGCCAGAGGCCTACCTGCTGTAGCATCGGGAATAATAAGACCAATCCACACTATCAAACACCTTTTCCACATCTGTAGAAATCACTAATGAAGGCAAGATCTGCATGGATAGAATTGATCACTCCCCCTACCCCCTTTTTTGTTTTAACAGAGCATTACAATGTCTGAAAATTATTTAAAACATCTTCACAGTGGTTGATTGTATTCTGACCCCATTCCTTTAGATTGGAAATTTAAGGAAGATCTGCATTGGTGGCTATGACATATAGAAGCGTGGAAAGGTCCGATCAAGAACTTCAACTCCACAACAATTGCCTAGAACTTCTGACAGGGTCATTTTTATTAAAGAATTTTAACAAAGACAAATGAATTGTTGCATTCTTTTGAGAATGGAACTCTCTCTGCGGTTCATTACGTCATCCATCTAGGAAGGACTCAGTAGGAGAGGATTTAATTTTAAAGGAATGCTGGATATGTTTGGAAAGGAACTACTATTGTACAGGCAGAATATATTCCAGGGTTGACACAATGTCAGATTAGAATTCAAAATTTCTTTCAAACTGCAGAAATTTTTTAAATGTATGGGGTCCTTTTATTTGCCTCCAGACTCAATGCTTGATTTTACAGCTGGAGACCAGACTCAGCAGTGAAAGCAATGAACAGTTTTCAGGATTGGTCTGGAAACCAAAATTATACATGTCCATCATTGATTCAGGTCTGTCAGATGTAACCATGCTGGTCACATCTTCTGGAATTGGCATGGATTATCCAAAACATTTTCCTCAAACTCTTTGTTTACTATCCAACCCAGACCTAAAACTACATGCATGGATTCATGAGAATATTCTTCAGCACATGGCCTGGCTCTTATCAGGAGACTTTGCAAGATCAGTAACGTCTTCAAGAGAAAGCTACAACGTCCTCATGAAAATCAGAATGCTTGGAGATTATAGTCTCGTTGTTGCATGGAACTGGATCTGTATCTCATTTCAGTATCTTAATCTTTCTTTTGTTCAAAAAGATAAGTTTATCGGACCATCAAGCTATATAGGCTGGTATGATAACAGTAGGTCACAACAGCCATCATGGTGTTTCCACTGGCAAACACCCGCATGTTTGCAGATTGATAAGGGAAATTAAAGTGTCCAGACATCAAGTCAGAGACATGAATCTAGTTCCCTTTTTGACTCTTCGCCTGGTAAGTCTGACCTTATGTTACGCAAAATTAAAGTCGGGATCACTGTATAGTAGAAGAAGCCCAAGATGCAGAGGAGCACTGAAAGCAATGGACTAAGTTTGCAGTACAAAAGGATCAAACGGAGAGAGAAGTTGGGGAAGCCAAAAGTCAAGCTAGGCGGCACAGGTTCAGAAGCGATAGTACAGCAAGGGTCAAAATCATGATATGGCAGGTCAGTCACTGAAGTCTTTAGACAATCAGGAGCACAGTAAAACTGAGCGAGGAGTCAAGGGTGTGTGGAGTTTAAATAAAGAGAGTGGGTGGTCTTGTCTACTGTAGCTCTTCCCTGGTCTCCACCTCCTGTACCTTTAAAAAGCCCTGTTTAGGAATGTGAGTGCCCTTTGATTCTCCCGAAGCTCTGTCTCCTGTGTGGCCGCGTTCATATGAATAGAGCTCTGCCTTCTGTGTTGCAGTGTTCGGTAAGCGGCGTTTGCACGAACAGATGTGACATTCATATGAATGTGAGCAGTTGGCGTGGGTGGTTGAGCTGACCATGCTGTCTGGAGGGTCGCGCTCCAACGCGGCGTCCTCGTGGAGTGAGACACGGTGTGGGAGCAAGGTTCTGATAGTTACCTTACTGTGTCTTATATCCTGTAAATGAGACTCAAATTTTGATATGAATGCCCATTCTTACATTCCTGAAGGAGTTCATTTTCACATTTTCGTCATACCAAGACAGGCATCTTTTAATTTGAATTTTTTTTTTGTCAATCACTTTTTTATTGTGGTGTTTGCATAAGGCACAAAAAGTGCAGAGAGAGTGTACAGCTTAGATCAAGCATCACATGAACACATAAGTAAAAAAAAAAAAAAGTAAGGCACCACATTTTTAAAATAAATGAATGAACGCTTGTTAACTTATGCCAACTAGGTATGGCTAGATTAAATAAGCTAGACAAAATAGAAAACCATGGGGTTTTTTTGGTTCTCATTCTTCTTGTGGTGCCGTGGCACTCATTTTTTTTGTTCGGCTGTAGATTGGAAGATCTTATGAAATCTGCTGACAGGTCAAATTAATTTACGTTTAATGAATTTTACTAAAAACATTCAAAATGTTTCTTCCTCTGTTATTATGCGGGTTTAAACTTTTATAATATGACCCATTGGGTCTTGTAACAAAATTGAAGGATTTTGCGATGCTGGAGCATTTTTATATTTTAGCTTTCTTTTTATTACCATCTCCGTTTTGTGTTTGTTGATTTGTTCTGGTGTATGTATGTATGTATGTATGTATGTATATATTATATATATATATATATATATATATATATATATATAATGTATTCTTCCTATTTATTGATATTTACTTTCATATAACTTTATTTCATTATTATTGCCAATTTATTCAATTATATTTACTAATCATACCTTTTCATTCTTTTTTTTTGCCTAGTTTGAAACTTTTATGGATTATTTTCTTTACTTTTACATTTGCATTGGAGTATGCCTGAATTTAAAATCTTGTTGCTCTTCTATGGAATTTACTTTGGATGTGATTTGAAGAAGGACTCTTCTGTTTAGTTTGCTGCTGAATTTAAAATCCTTGGATTTCAACCTATAGTTCAATTGCAAAGAAAGACGACTTTGGAATGTTCACAGTGCCTTTTATAGCATTGCATAAAACTATTTCTCACCTACATGTCTTTAATAAAACCATGCATAGCAAAATTATGATGTTTATTACTGCTCAGCTAACGTAACCAATGACAGTTGCCGTGCATCATGATACCAGCATGGCTGTATTATGAAGTAGGTTTTAAAAATATTGCTTAGTTGATGTGATGCAATAAATGTGAGGACATGTGGCAGATGACAGAAAATCCACTGCCAACTGAATGTCTGGTATAGAGACAGTAATGATAACTCCTTAAGGACCTATTTTCTCACCTCTCATCTTGGTCATCTGTTTCAAAATGGACAGTTGTAGGCTCATTTTCTTGTTCCTCATTTTCTGAAATAGGAGTGTTACATCACAATAAATTAGTATGCATTTAAGAGATGCAGAAACAACTGGCAAAAACAAAAACGTTGCTAATTTATTATATGTGAAAAGCGTTATTGGGTGACGGGGGACAGTACATTTTAGACATATCTGTCTTCTATACAATGTACTACTTGAACCTATTTATGGCTTCTGTATCAGGAAAAGAGCAATTTCAAAACCACTTCACATATTCTCCCAAAGTGATTTTAAATTTCATTCCTATACCCACAGTTACAACTGCTAGAGGTCTCAAGAGGCTTATGGGAGCTTCATTAGAAGCATTTTATGAGATAGCTCTATGAGCTAATGCATCATCACTAGAATCTGTTTGACCAATGAGTCGCAGGTGCAAATCCCAGCAAGGTTGACTAAGCCCTTCATCCTTCCGAAATACCATTAAATTGGGTAATCTTAACATCCCCTGGATGTTGGGCAAATAAATAGTAACATCTCCAGGACGTACTTGGAAACCAGAACAATCTCAATGGACCTTTCCTGGTGAAATATTTTGTATTTTATTTAAGTAATCCACCTTAAATCAAACAATGTTTTAAAGAATACATATATAATTTTTTCCCAAATAATAATTAGTACATTTTATATATGTGGTCCAGATCTACCACTCCTGTTTAATTTTGTAATGTGGGTACAATTTCTTTTTAAACCAAGATGATGTATCTACTGTAAATACAGGAAGTTATTCCTGCTATGGGCATACATTTAAAATGCTTAAAAACAAAAACAAATGCTAAATATTCACATTAAAATAATGTAAACATTTCTTCTTTCAGTCTCCGGAAAACCCTTTTTACCTTCAAGTGACATTATTCCAGTTTTCTTTTTCCGAGCAAGTAACAGAGCCCGCAAAGCTGCTGCACGCTGTTCTAGGCCTTTATCCTGATCTTCAGACTCCAGCTGTGTTTCTGCAGCATTATCAGGAGGTAAGTAATCAAGTGAAGCTGCCATCTTGCGAAGCTGTCCAGGGCTCAGTTTGTCTGGGATGCGCCAAAATGATTCCTGCAGATACACAAGTGGTCAGTGATGAAAGTTTGAAAACACTGTGTCCATAAATATTTTATATGAATGGATTAAAAGTCCATACACAGGGAAATCACGGGTCAAGAAACCTGACAGAAAGAAGTAGGGAATTGTTTACCAGGCAGCTGTATAAAAGAAACTCCATGCAAGTACTTTCACGTGCAGGGCAGAGAAATGCTTTCTCTGACGTCTCACACTGAGAAGATGGGCTTATAATTTTTGAAAATATCTGCATCCTTTTAGATCTATGTTAAAGTTTTGCCTATATCTCTATAACTGGCTATAACCCTACATCAATAATCCTAATCCTTACTCAGTTTCTTTCAGTTAGTTGAAATATCACGGACTGAAACCCTTTCAATCAAAACATGTTTAACTGACAAAACACCTTCCCTTTAACAATTCCCTTATAGGCTGTATGAATGCATGTATACAGAATCTGGTTTTATTATTATCCGTTGCTCTAAAGATGCAAGATTGGTCTTGGCCACATGACCAATAGGCTATAGAAAGCATTACTGATTCAAGGAGCTAGGAAACTATATAACTAACACCACCATAAAGCAAGTAGCGGAGATATTGGCAAGGGACCACTTAACTGTTGACAAAAGCATGACAAAGGGCAGAGCTTCATTCATGGGCTGGTCTCTAGATATACTCACTACCGCCCAGCATCTTTGTCACAGGAGCTTTCCTAGCTTTGCAGACGCAAGAAGGAATCAGAGTGTGTAATTGTGGACAGGGTACACCCCCAAAACACAAAACTTCACAGGTTACCTGCTCTCTTTGAGTTCGAAACCACCAGTGAACAATTTACAGCACGTTTATTATATACAGTATTTAGTGTATTTTTACAGTAAATAAAACCTTGACAGCAATAAAGGGCAATTACCTGCTCATTAGCTGGAGGACGAACACCTAGTTTTTTAAGTAGCTTTTGGAATGTCTTATTCTCCATAGAATCCTCGTTCTCTTCCGTTAAAGGCACAAGGGGAATTGACTGAGAAAAACCTAGTACATGAAAAAAGAAAAAAAGTAATCTAGTTAATAAGTATTCCCCTCAGTTGGATTATAGAAATCATGATTTTCTTATGAACTCATTATAAAAATGATGCAAAGGCTATTAAGTATTGGTCACTCCATAAACATAGCACTAGGAGGTTTTTTTTTTAATTTCCAGTGATGTCAGTAAGTTGATTTAGTCTGAAAAAGAAGCAGTTTGCCAATCTAACAGAACTCCTTGTGTGCTCACTCAGACGTCTTAATGTATTATATTTCTCTGTATCTAGTAAATAGCCATTACGCACAGTTGGCTGAGCTTCTTAGTGCTAAGCTTATGGTTAGTTCCCTGACATAACTTGAAAATTACAGCTATATTTTGTAGAAATGTTATTGCAAAAGATAATGTGACTGTTTATGGAGCCATTTACATTTTGTGAAGTTAGACTTTTATTGCAAATCAGCCACTTGGCAATGGAATGAAAAAAATCTCAAACTGATTGAAGATTTCCCAGTGGGAAAGTGGTCACTGGAACCATGAACCACTTCACACTAAAGCTACAAAACCAGTGTGTGAACTAAATACAATAACTTGCAATGGTTAATTAACAATATCTTCTTAGGTAAATGCCAAACTCACCGTCCTCTTCTCTGTCCTCTGCAGCTCTGTTTAAACAATTCTGAAGCCACACTACAGGACTGGATAGACCTGGCAGACCAAATAAGAAAAACAGACAAAAGCAGAGAACAAAGGATCATTTTTAAATGCAAACTGAATCAAGTCTTATTTTATCACTCTACAATAATTCATTCAGTAAAAAAGTGAAAAACAAACAGTCTATGGTCTTAAGAAAAGTAGTAAGATTTTGGAGATTATAAAAATATATATATATAATAATAATAAAACAATTAAAATATAGATCTCTATTTAGTTATGCATATTGGCCTTGGGGGTATGTTTAAAAATTCTTCTTCAACCTTTGCAAGCCCTCCTCTTGACATTGCCACAAGTGCACGTGTGAGGGGAAGGGGGCAGGTAGGAAGTTGCAGCAAGAGCAAAGGACGATAGAGAAGATGGAGCCCTGTGGACAGGCTCACTAGAACCTGTAGGAGTGGGCTCATGATCTATCAGGAGGAGGAAAATCTCCATGACTGACAGCCAGGGACGTGTTTCTTAAGTGATTTATACAACCTGCCATTAAAATTAGATCCTCCATAGACATAAAGCACTACATGTGTTGTGTGTGTGGAGTGGTCCTTTAATTGGACTTTGAAAAACAAGAGTTTAGTTTTATGCATAACTGGCACGAAACACATGCTTTATGCAGGACAGCCACCTGTCACTCACCCTCCTCCTCCAAACTTTTTAGAAGACTATGAATCTTCTTGTCCGAAAAGGAGTCATTCTCCTTGTCTTTTCTTTTGCTCTCCTTTGGCTTCTGCTCAAACTTGGCACTTTCGCACTCTTCCTCTTCTTCGTCAACCTCCTCCTCTTCTTCAGATTCTTCCTCATCATTTATATCAATGTCTTTTCCATCTATTCCCAGATCACGAAGAAATTCTTCCTCCGACTAAAAAAACAACAAATTATTAAATTTTTTCAGATAAGCCATATATAGTATACAAATGAAATATAAATATATATATATATATATATATATATATATATATATATATCAAATTACACGTAGACTGATACTGATTAAACATATATCTATATATATATATATATATAATTATTGTTATATATTATATAAAAAAATTAAATATGTAAATACGTTAAAAAATAAAATAAATAAAAATAATTAAAAAATATATAGATGTGTTATTTCGTTCTGTTTTGTGATATTAAAATATATATATATATATATATATATATATATATATATATATAATATATAAGTATACATCACTATATATATATATATATATATATATATATATATATATATATATATATATATATATATATATATATATATATATATATATACACACACACACACACCTATATAAATAAAAAATAAATATATATATATATATATATATATATATATATATATACACACACACACACACACACACACACACACACACATTAATTCTACATATATATTTATGTAATAATTTTACATAATTGGGTATCAATTAATTACAATTAGCGGGACCTGCCTGACAACCCATGCCGAAAGTAAAGGGAATTTAATTTGCTAGCACTATATTTAACCCTATAACTTTCCAAGACACCATAAAACCTGTACATGGGGGGGTACTGTTCTACTCGGGGGACTTCGCTGAACACAAATATTAGTGTTTCAAAACAGTAAAATGTATTACAACGATGATATCGCCAGTAAAAGTGACTTTTTTGCATTTTTCACGCACAAACAGCACTTACACAGACGATATTATTCCTGCGATACTTTTTACTGTTTTGAAACACAAATATTTGTGTTCAGCGAAGTCTCCAGAGTACAACAGTACCCCTCATGTACAGGTTTTATGGTGTTTTCAAAAGATACAGCGTCAAATATAATGCTTGTGTTTTATTTTTTTCACATTAAAATTCGCCAGATTGGGTACGTTGCCTTTGAGACCCTATGGAAGCCCAAGAATGAAAATTACCCCTATGATGGCATACCATTTGCAATAGTAGACAACCCAAGGTATTGCAAACGGGGTATGTCCAGTCTTTTTTAGTAGCCACTTAGTCACAAACACTGGCCAAAATTGGCGTTTTTTGCATTTTTCACACACAAACAAATACCAACGCTAACTTTGGCCAGTTTTTGTGACTAAATGGCTACTAAAAAAGACTGGACATACCCCATTTGCAATACCTTTAATAAACTGCATTATTTACCTTGCAGGGTTAAGTCCTCCTCTAGCGGCTGTCTACTAGAAAGCCACTAGAGGACACTTCCGTGTTCATAGAACACGAAAAGTGTGTTATAAATATGCTGGACATCCTCACGCTATGTAAGGACCTCCAGCATCGCCGAAACCCCTAGAGGAAAAGCACTGTATAATGCTTTCCCATGGGGAGGTCTAATGCGCGTTGCCGCGCATGCGCATTAGATCTCCTCCACCGGCTGACGTTGGCGGGGGAGGAGCGTAGACGGAGCCTGACCCAGTGCCGAGGGACATGAGCGCTGGATACAAGTAAGTCACTGAAGGGGTTTTAACCCCTTTAGCAACCTGGGATGGGGGGAGGGGGATGGGGACCTGCAGTGCCTTTAATTGTTAAGGAAGAACTTCCAGGATTTCTCAGGAAAATATCCTACTGCACATGTGAGGCAATCGCTGAGCTGCACTAATCGGTAACTCTTTACACTGCAGGTTCACAACAGAATGCAGCTCTCGTGGCTTAGTAACATCCACTGAAGGTGTCCTCAAGGAGCAATGTATATAGCATTGCTCTACTCTATTATCAAGGGAAGGGGCAGTAAGAGTGGCTGGTGGAAAGAGTCCCACTACAAAGACGTAAAATTATAGAAGTGATTCCTAGCAGAAAATTGTATTCACATAAAGACTTTAAGCTCGTTTGAGCAGGGTCCTCTTCAACCTATTGTTCCTGTAAGTTTTCTTGTAATTGTCCTATTTATATAGTTAATCCTCCCTCATAATATTGTAAAGTGCTACGGAATCGGTTGGCACTATATAAAGGGCAATAATAATAACACCAGCACTGTAAAAAGTAAGTGGGGTTATAAAATATTTTAAGAGATCTATGGCAATATACCTCAATACAGAATGCACCAGTCATGGTTAAATATATTTATTACATGTTAGAGTGAGTGTGTGTGTGTGTGTGTGTGATGTTAATACCGCGAAGGATTTTTTTCCCACCATAACCTATTTGGATTTTGCTTCCCAAGCACTACCAAACTTAATAAGCAAACCAGTAACCAACCTCATGCTGATGATTTGCATTAACAATGAAACAGCTGTCCATGAGTAGTTCACTGGCTTGCATCTTTTCCTAAGTTGTGTTTCAAAGCTGTTGTATACAGCAAACACAGACTCAAAGGAATCAATGTTTAAAATGGAATGAGGCAAAAATGTGATTCTTTGTTAAACTAATTTGCAGATGCCCACCCAGAATCCTTTACGGTAGTAACATCACTGCAGATTTGTGATTTCTGTGGGAAAACCAAGTCTCATGGCTTGACTGGTTTGCAGATTTTTGTATTAACATTGTATTAACTATTCACAGACTTCTGGTGGAAGGGATTTTCAATCACACTTTTGCCCTACCATAACATTTTTGGAAAATATACATTACAAAAAGGTTATGGAATATATATATTCCAAAAAGGTTATGGTGGGGCAAAAGTGTGATCAAATACCTTCCACCTGAAGTCTGTGAATAGTTAATACAATGTTAAACAAAAATCTGCACACCAGTCAAGCCATGAGACTCGCTTTTCCCACAGAAATAACAAATCTGCAGCAACTTGGTAGTGTCTCTCCGTGTATGCTGTTCCTGCTAACATCTTGCATCCAGCATACACGGAGAGACACAACCAAGTTGCTGGGATTGTGTACTGAAACATCTGCACAGAATATGGATTGGACCTGCCTAAGTCTAGATGGGAGATACCACAAAGGGTAGTTGGGAATGACAGGGCTAAGATCCAGACAGACAAGCAAGTGCTCGCCAACCAGACATCGTGGTAGTAGACAAGGAACGAAAAACTGCAGTCGTGGTGGATGTGGCAATACCCAGTGACTATAACATCAGGAAGAAGGAACATGAGAAGGTGAACAAATACAAAGGACTTAAAGAAGAACTAGAAAGGATGTGGAAAGTGAAGGCAGTAGTAGTCCCAGTTGTGATAGGAGCACTTGGGGCTAAGACTCCCAAGTTGGGGGAGTGGCTTCAAAAGATTCCAGGTGGGACATCTGAGATCGCTGTCCAGAAGAGTGCAGTTCTAGGAACAGCTAAGATACTACCCAGAACCCTCAAACTTCCAGGCCTCTGGTAGAGGACCCGAGAAAGAGTAATAAACATACCACCCAAGGAGTGGTGAGAAAATCTATTTTTATAGTGTTTGTATATTGTATTTTTGTAATAGTGTATCCTACTGTAACAATGCAATGTTTTGTGGACCCAGAACATACTTGAAATACTGAGGGAAATCTCAATGTATCCATTCTGGTAAAATATTTTATAAATAAAAAATTTTGACACTCTATGCAAAACAAATTGTTAGTAGGCCCATGTTTACATGTTGTTAGGAGTCTAATCACAATGGTTTATGAAAGGAGGTTGATTATAAAAAGAAAATGTAACAAAAATTACAAACACATATGAGGCTCAAAAATGACAAGGTCTATTCATTAATAATATACCATGCCAGTTGATTTTCCTTTTTTTCTCCTTTTTTTATAGAGTTCTTTGCGCTCAGAAATCAGACCCATGCTGATTAGTTTATCTACGATTCTGGCTTTGGAGCGTTTTGCAGTGATATTTTTCATAATGTTTCCAAGGATGTCTGGGGAAAAAAAAAAAAAAAACATTTGTACAAATAGAAATAAGCAGAGAGGCTCTTCAATAGTGAAATAAAAATAGTCAATGGCTGTAATAAAGGTATTTTATCCCAATAAGAAATAGGGTTTTGTTTCTCTAAAAACAATAGGTCATTTTTCAGCATCTGAAATGCCAAAAAGTATAATAAATGGGTTCCACAGCCCTAGGTTACAAAGAACAAGCAAAGTCTGCATAAAAGTCTACCCTCTGAAGTAACAAGCATGTAAGCCAAGTTGTACATGCTCTGAAACCGCTATGTTTATAGAAAAAAAGGGTTAACCCTAGATGGACCAGGAACCCATACCACCTCATTAAGCTGAAGTGGTCTGGGTGCCTATAGTGGTCTTTTAATTTGAGACCCGTTCTAGCAAATAATATGTGGGGTTCTCTAGTGGTCCATAACTGCACAAGAGGGAGCCAGTTTCACTTTTTTCCGGTCAAAGTGCTTAAACAAGATACTGTATGGGTCCAGTCTAGGATGTCACTAGTGTCTATTAGATGTCACGAGTGCAATTAAAGGGACACTAGAGTCACCTGAACAACTTTAGCTTAATGAAGCAGTTTTGGTGTATAGAACATGCCCCTGCAGCCTCACTGCTCAATCCTCTGCCATTTAGGCGTTAAATCCCTTTGTTTATGAACCCTAATCACACCTTCCTGCATGTGACTTGCACAGCCTTCCATAAACACTTCCTGTAAAGAGAGCCCTATTTAGGCTTTCTTTATTGGAAGTTCTTTTTAATTAAGATTTTCTTATCCCTTGCTATGTTAATAGGTTGCTAGACCCTGCAAGAGCCTCCTGTATGTGATTAAAGTTCAATTTAGAGATTGAGATACAATTAAAGGTAAATTACATCTGTTTGAAAGTGAAACCAGTTTTTTTTTCAATGCAGGCTCTGTCAAACATAGCCAGGGGAGGTGTGGCTAGGGCTACATAAACAGAAACAAAGTGATTTAAAAAAAAAAAAAAATTTCTTTGTGTATTTTTGGTGGCACGAGTGGGATTACAGAACAAAGAGAAAGCGTTAGGTGGTACCGTCATATACAGCAGTTATCGTATAGGCTTACAATCAGTACAATTGCATGTTATATTACAGAAGGTTTGTAAATCTGTGGTAAGTGTGCGCTTCTGTGCCTTCACGTGCGTTAGGGTCTTTCCTCCAGTTCTGATCTCTTTTGTGGTTCTGAGTTTGCTTCTTTTTTTTTTTTTTTTTTTTTTAAACAAAGTGATTTAACTCCTAAATGGCAGTGAAATTGCATGGGGAATAATCTATACACTAAAACTGCTTTATTTAGCTAAAGTAATTTAGGTGACTATAGTGTTCCTTTAAATATCGAGAATTAGTAAGACTTTGAGTGTATGTTACCAAATGTACCTATCTATGCAGGTACAACTATAACAGCACCTAAGTGAACTTGTTTTGGAACAGGCCTTTCATTTGGTGATTAAAAAACGGTAAATAAAAAACGGTAAAAGGCTGCGCCACAATAAATAATAAAAAATATATGTAAAATAGTCCAATGGAAAGTCCAAAAAAGGGAGAAAATCCCAATATTTATCCTTACAGATAGTCTTTGGTGGTAAGGTCTTCTACTGATATGGTGGATCCACTTGGTATGAAAGATAAAAAGAGAGAGGGACAACCAATGGTGCAGTATGTAAAATTCAAATGTGAATATAAAAGAATAATAGTATAAAACTCACATTTACCAGAGCTAATATCCAGCTCTGGAGTAAGGCGCCTACAGCGGTTTAAATCCCCGCTTATGGGATATAAATGGGTTCCTCTCCGTCGTTGGTGTCCAATTCTCGAAATAAAAGAGACAACTAATAGTGCTCACTGTATAGTATTGTTGATAAAATAATAAAAGAATGTACTTACAAGGTAAGAGCAGGCCAACTGCTCTATGATGATAGCTTGGGTGGATTGATCCCCACCTAAGGATTTCTTTAAGTACAGGAAACTTCCAGGGATATTATCCAATGATTTTTATAAAACCAATAAAAAATAATACTAAAAAGCCAGGGTAAAAGGAAAAGTTATGTGTCTTTGAAAAAGTTGATTGGCACAAATAAATGACCAAAAATACTTTAATATGATAAAAGAACACAAATATTAAATATCCATAACGCGTTTCGTCAAAAAAAAAGACTTTTTCAAATGGATTTACATATGATACCTGGCTAATAGATGTTTTATAAAGATAAAACTAATTTGAATTTGGCGCCAAAAATGGTACAACCAATCAGAATTAAAAACAAAATTAAAACATTAAATTGCATAAATAACTCAATAAGTGTATAAATAATAATACTATAACATGATATTAAAATGTTTGGATCAAAAACGAAGGTGTTAAATTGTGTTTTTAAACATTAATAAAAAGTCACATGTCCAAACAGCACTTCCGTTTTTCGTAAGTAAAACACAATGCCACATGGGAAATGTAGTCAAAATGGCCGCAAAAAACGGCCACATGTAACAGTAAAATAAGCAGATGATTGCATAATTATAGCCTTCACAAAGTGTTGATTAGAATTAGAAATTAAAAACGAAGGGGAGCAATAGGTTTAGAGCTAATCAGACTTGGTCACATGGTTTTTCGGCACTTCCGCAAATCGGAAGATATAGCCGCAATGCATGTAGGGAAATGTAGTTTAACCCACAATAACAGGAACAAATACAGCAGATAAATGTACTTGCAGGGAAAAGACAGTTTACAATTGTAATTACATGAGCTTAGAAACATAAAAAAGTAAAACAATGATAAAAAATTACATTATTCATCAGTAACAATAAAAGCATAATTATTTAAAGGTACAGGCAGCAACATGTTTTTAAAAAATTATAAAAGATTATAAAAAGTTATGTAAATCAAAGTCTGCATTAAGACCGTGGGGTATAAGAGTCTGAAGTTTATACACCCATTCCATCTCTGTTTTTCCAAGCATCTTTTTTATGTCACCTCCACGCCAGGAGGTAGAGCATTTGGTTATACCAATACATTTTAATAGGCGCGGATCTCTGTTATGCATAATAAAATGTTTGGATACTGTATGATTTAGGTATCCATTTTTGATATTTCTGCAATGTTCGCTCAATCTTATCTTTAGGCACCTTGTGGTCATCCCCACATATTGGAGGCCACACGGGCACTCGAGCAGATAAATAACATTTTTTGTATTGCAACGTATAAAATCATTTATATTGTACACTTTTTTGGTCCTATTTGACATAAAATTTGTAATTTTAGATGGGATAGAATGATCGGTGGTTTTACATACAATGCATTGTTTACATCTATAAAAACCTTTTGTCTGAGGAAAGAAAGATACATTATTAGAAGGGGATTTTTTGGTAAAATTTCTGGTTAAAATAGACTTAAAATTGGGTGCTCCTCTAAAAACAATATTAGAATGGATGGGTATGATAGAGTTAAGTATCTCATCATGTTTGAGTATATGCCAATGTTTGTTTATTATTTTTTTAACATCATTACTTTTATTGTTGAAATTAAAAATCACTGGAAGTGATATTAGTTCATTATTTTCTTTATTTTTATATTTTAGAAGTTCATTTCGTTCTTTCTGCTTTACTATACTAATTGTGGCATTTAGATCAGATTCTGAATATTTTTTCTCCATAAATTTATTTTTTAAAACCTCTGCTTGTTCATTAAAATCTGTAAGTTCTGAACAATTTCTGCGAAGACGTAAGAATTGACTTTTTGGGGCACTCTCAAGCCAAGGTTTATAATGGCAGCTGGATTTGTCTATAGCCGTATTTACACATACTTGTTTAAAAAAAGTTTTTGTTTGAAGTTGTCCCTTGTTGATAAAAATGTTAAGATCTAAGACGTTAATAGACTCCTTACTATATTCATATGTAAGGATGATACCCCTATTGTTGATGTTTAGGTGGTTTATAAAATCAATAAGATTGTTTTCTGGTCCATCCCATATAAAAAAGAGGTCATCTATATATCTGAAGTAGGAGACTAGGTTTGCCCTCCACGGGTGGTTACTCCAAATAGCTTCGGTTTCCCAGTCGGCCATAAACAAGTTGGCATAACTTGGGGCAAACCTAGTCCCCATAGCTGTACCTCTCTTTTGCAAACTGGGGCATTATATTTGCTATAGTTCTCAAACATGATGAGATACTTAACTCTATCATACCCATCCATCCTAATATTGTTTTTAGAGGAGCACCCAATTTTAAGTCTATTTTAACCAGAAATTTTACCAAAAAATCTCCTTCTAATAATGTATCTTTCTTTCCTCAGACAAAAGGTTTTTATAGATGTGAACAATGCAGTGTATGTAAAACCACCGATCATTCTATCCCATCTAAAATTACAAATTTTATGTCAAATAGGACCAAAAAAGTGTACAATATAAATGATTTTATACGTTGCAATACAAAAAATGTTATTTATCTGCTCGAGTGCCCGTGTGGCCTCCAATATGTGGGGATGACCACAAGGTGCCTAAAGATAAGATTGAGCGAACATTGCAGAAATATCAAAAATGGATACCTAAATCATACAGTATCCAAACATTTTATTATGCATAACAGAGATCCGCGCCTATTAAAATGTATTGGTATAACCAAATGCTCTACCTCCTGGCGTGGAGGTGACATAAAAAAGATGCTTGGAAAAACAGAGATGGAATGGGTGTATAAACTTCAGACTCTTATACCCCATGGTCTTAATGCAGACTTTGATTTACATAACTTTTTATAATCTTTTATAATTTTTTAAAAACATGTTGCTGCCTGTACCTTTAAATAATTATGCTTTTATTGTTACTGATGAATAATGTAATTTATCATTGTTTTACTTTTTTATGTTTCCAAGCTCATGTAATTACAATTGTAAACTGTCTTTTCCCTGCAAGTACATTTATCTGCTGTATTTGTTCCTGTTATTGTGGGTTAAACTACATTTCCCTACATGCATTGCGGCTATATCTTCCGATTTGCGGAAGTGCCGAAAAACCATGTGACCAAGTCTGATTAGCTCTAAACCTATTGCTCCCCTTCGTTTTTAATTTCTAATTCTAATCAACACTTTGTGAAGGCTATAATTATGCAATCATCTGCTTATTTTACTGTTACATGTGGCCGTTTTTTGCGGCCATTTTGACTACATTTCCCATGTGGCATTGTGTTTTACTTACGAAAAACGGAAGTGCTGTTTGGACATGTGACTTTTTATTAATGTTTAAAAACACAATTTAACACCTTCGTTTTTGATCCAAACATTTTAATATCATGTTATAGTATTATTATTTATACACTTATTGAGTTATTTATGCAATTTAATGTTTTAATTTTGTTTTTAATTCTGATTGGTTGTACCATTTTTGGCGCCAAATTCAAATTAGTTTTATCTTTATAAAACATCTATTAGCCAGGTATCATATGTAAATCCATTTGAAAAAGTCTTTTTTTTGACGAAACGCGTTATGGATATTTAATATTTGTGTTCTTTTATCATATTAAAGTATTTTTGGTCATTTATTTGTGCCAATCAACTTTTTTAAAGACACATAACTTTTCCTTTTACCCTGGCTTTTTAGTATTATTTTTTATTGGTTTTATAAAAATCATTGGATAATATCCCTGGAAGTTTCCTGTACTTAAAGAAATCCTTAGGTGGGGATCAATCCACCCAAGCTATCATCATAGAGCAGTTGGCCTGCTCTTACCTTGTAAGTACATTCTTTTATTATTTTATCAACAATACTATACAGTGAGCACTATTAGTTGTCTCTTTTATTCCGAGAATTGGACACCAACGACGGAGAGGAACCCATTTATATCCCATAAGCGGGGATTTAAACCGCTGTAGGCGCCTTACTCCAGAGCTGGATATTAGCTCTGGTAAATGTGAGTTTTATACTATTATTCTTTTATATTCACATTTGAATTTTACATACTGCACCATTGGTTGTCCCTCTCTCTTTTTATCTTTCATACCAAGTGGATCCACCATATCAGTAGAAGACCTTACCACCAAAGACTATCTGTAAGGATAAATATTGGGATTTTCTCCCTTTTTTGGACTTTCCATTGGACTATTTTACATATATTTTTTATTATTTATTGTGGCGCAGCCTTTTACCGTTTTTTATTCACCTTATTTCAAAGGGTTTGAGGGATCCCCTTTTAAGGTTGCTGCCTATAAGTTAACCAAGCGCTGTCTCTTTTACTTTCATTTGGTGATGCCTTAAGAGGCCACAATATAATGCTGTATTGTGATTGTTAAGATTGTTGTATACTTACCTCTATAAATTAATGGGGAGTGGGGTCTGAAGTTTGTAAATTGCACAAACACTTGAACACTTTTGTAATACCTCAATAAAGTTTATTTGTACATGGTTTATTTTATAAAAAATTTTGCCCCCACTAAAAGCTTGTCCTTTTCAGTCTCTTCCTCCATTTCATCCATGGGCTATATTGCTTTAAAGTCTTATTTTGTATAAATAGGGGTACTTTTAACATTTATTTTTTTCCTGATGAATGTTTTATAGAAAAACTAAAAAAGTATAAGGTAAATATTACAAGAAGTCCCAGGAGTACCACCAGTGTTTGTACATCTAGATGGTAGATTAAAGGGATTTTATAGTGCCAGGAAAACAAACCCTCGGTGCTCACTTACTTGAATCTAGCGCCGATGTCCCTTGGCGCTAAGTCGGCTCCATCCACGAGATCTAATGTGCATGTGCGGCAATGGCCACACTCTTATTAGGATTTCCCCCATAGGTAAACATTATTTAATGCTTTTCTATGTGGAAAAATCTGACCCTGGAGGTCCTCATGTAGAGCAGTAGGACGTCCAGCGTCAGGTAACGGACCAGAGGTACATTTTGATTCCGGAAGTCCCTCTAGTAGACATCCACTAGAGGATGAGTTAACTCTCAGAGGTAATTATTGCAGTTTCTCTGAAACTGGGGCATTATATTTGCTATAGTTCTCAAGTACAAGTATACCTGGATTCACTTCAGTCACATGAGGCGAGGTTCATAAATCTGTAGTGCCAGTGCAGAAAGAGGGGAAAGGTCTTACCATCTGTTTCTCGAAAATCTTCATAGAGATGCTGAAGTTCAAACTCTTGGTCTTCTGTCCAGATTACAATTCGAGTACCTTTTCTGTAATTAAAAAGTGCAACAACCCCTTTTATACATATCATGATTTGCACTTTATTTCAACTGGCAGATCATGTTATCACGCCCTGTACTCTGCAGGGTGGGTAATTTTATATTCCAAGCAATACCGTAAAAACAAGGTTTGGCCCAAGTCCGCCACACAAAAAAATTAAAAATTACACACACAAAATTACACCTCTCAATTCTTTGTTTTTACAGATCAGGACATGGCAATCATCTATTCTTTTTGCAGGGATTTAGATAAAATTAGGTAAATACAACCTCAGATGAACAACAATATTACACCGTGTCATGATTAGACAAAAATAAAGCCAAAATGGAGAAGCAATGTGTGAATAACTAAGTATGTGTGAATAACTAAGTACATCTGTCAGGATCGTATCCTGACAGCTATGTTTTATCTTCCTTTTTTGTTTCTGTTCCTTTAAAAGAAGTTCCAGCTCTCAAGCACTAGTGGCCTTCCTGGCCACTAGTCATCTCAGTCCTCACCTGCCTAGGACTAATTACTTGCTTTAGCTACATAAGGCTACACCCTGCTCACAACAGAGCCTTTACATTGAAGTTGGTGATCTACCTGAAAGACTTCAGTTCCTAGCTCCTGTGAACCTGTTCCAGACTTACCTTCTACCCTGCTCCATACCAACCTGCTCCAGACTTGCCTTCAATATAACTTTAAAAGAAACAAAATTGCAAACCACCAGTGTTAAAGTGATATATGCAAAATAATAAAACAACTTAACTTATAGGTACACAGCTTCCCACGGTTACCTCCCAGTTGGTAACCAGATAACAGATATATAAAAGATAGGGAATTTAGGGATTCTGCTGATGTGCCTAAAATTAAGGACAAAACATAGTGCAATATTGTCTGGAACGGTTATCAAATAAAATATTCCATTACACTCACAAGTTCCAAATGGTTAGAGCATATTATAGGTGCCTGCCCACGCTGTAGATGGGGGGTCTTTTGAAATCCTCCTCCAGTAATGACCGCAGGGTGCCCCGGCTACTAGGATGATCCAATGATCCAGTCAAAACAAAAGCTCCCCAAAAAACGGTTTTAATTATAAAACAAAAAAAAAAATTATGGAGGAATAAAAAAAATATAAATATAATAAAAGTCCACAGGTCCTACGCATTTCGTTCTTGTTAAAGAACTTCCTCAGGGACCATTTATGTATAAAACCACAATCAATATGCAACAAACCAAAAAGGCCAGACTTGCCTTCAAACCTGCTCCACTCTCACGTATGATTTTGATCTCTGCCTCTATTACCAGCATTCCTGTGTTACAAACCTGCCTCTGTAAACAGCCTTCCTGTGTTACAAACCTCCCTCTGTTATCAGCCTTCTACTGCTACCAGCCTGCAGTTGATCCTAAACTGCCTTTGTTTCAAACCTACCTGGAGATCAGAGACTTTATTTGCAAGTATCCTGTTTTGTGGCATATTGCCTAAAGTATGTTTTTTTCCTCAATTTCCATAATCTGTCTAAAAGCACAAATAAAGTCTCAAAACAACAACAACCTTGGCATAAGTCTCCTATCTAACCTGCACTAGACCAAGACAGAATGTAAACGCCTTAAAACAGAGACTCCAGGGTTAACTGATGTCCTGAAAACTTTGGTTGAGTGTTTATTGGAATTACGCAAGGCAGTAACAAGTATGGATCAATCAAGTTCCAGCAATCCTCCTGAAAGGAAAAATCTGAGAATACAAAAAAAAAAAAAAAAAGTCAAACTCGCCTTCCAGGAAAAGCAAGAAAAGAGAACCACTAACTAAAGCTGAACTAGAAAAAAAGAGGTCAAGCTGACTTATGCTATTATTGTGGTGATACAGTACACCGCATTTCCTTCTGTCCGAGAAGACCTCCTAAACCTCCTGTAACCGATGACCCAAACACACAGACCTCTCAACCTGACTCCCCTTTTTACAAAGACCATAAGGACGGTGTATTTTACCCACAGAAAACTCAGTTATCTGCCTATTACTCCTCAGATGACTCCCTATCATCTTACTTAGTAGACGAAAATTATCTATATGATTAACTACCCTCTGACAAGGAAGAGACTGGAATAGAACAATTCATGGAAGAACCTATGGTGGCTACTACGACTCCCATCATCCAATCCGCAAAGAAGAATACGGCAAAGCCTCCATTTGGTGCCCCATGTCTTGAGAAAGCCAGCGATGGTACTATCTTGCCAAAAAGAGAAATCTGGGATTATGAAAACCTTCTTAAAATAATGGGGTATGTGAATGGAAAACCCCCTAAGAACAACTCTAATCAAGTCTCAGCCTGCTCTTCCTCCCAACCTGTAACATTGGGTACACTAGCTACCCTGAAAAAAGCCTTCTGAACCTCAGACTCTCAATTCTGGGTTAATGAAGAAGAATAATGAACCAATCTCTACACTAAGGATAAGAGAAAAAAGTGTAACTGAAGAAATTCCTCCTGAGTATGTCAAAGCCTCAAATGGTACAAATGTGCATCTAAAAGATTTCAATATGTTTGAGTAGATGCTTAAAGACAAGGAAAAGAGAAAATCAAAGAGAAAGAAATTATTTTGATTTCTGTTTATTGTGATTTGTACTTTTCTTCATTTGACACCCTTTTCAGTTCGTCCAGAGTCCGCTCTTGAAGGGGGAGATTGTGTCAGGATCGTATCCTAATAGCTATGTTTTATCTTTCTTTGTTTCAGTTCCTTTAAAATAAGTTCGAGCTCTCAACCACTAGTGGCCTCCCTAGCCACTAGTCACCTCAGTCCTCACCTGCCTAGGACTAATTACTTGCTTTGGCTACATAAGGCTACACCCTGCTCACAACAGATCATTTACATTGAAGCTGGTGATCTACCTGAAAGACATCAGTTCCTGGCTCCCGTGAACCTGTTCCAGACTTACCTTCTACCCTGCTCCACTCTCACATATGATTTTGACGTCTGCCTCTATTACCAGCCTTCCTGTGTTACAAACCTGCCTCAGTTATCAGCCTTCTACTGTTAACAACCTGCCTCTGTAACCAGCCTGTCGTTAATACTAAACTGCCTTTGTTTCAAACCTACCTGGAGATCAGAGACTTTCTTTGCAAGTATCCTGTTTAGTGGCATATTGCCTAAAGCCTGTTTTTTTCGTCAATTTGCATAATATGTCTAAAAGCACAAATAAAGTCTCAAATAACAACCCTGGCATAAGTCTCCTATCTGACCTGCATAAGAGCATGACAACATCCTTACTGCTTCCATAGGAATTAAGAGGATAAGTAGCAGACAGGTGCTGCTTATCAAATGCCCTTGATTAACAGATCATAAGCAAGTGTGACCACCTCTAATAGCCAAAGTTTAAGCAGTTTGCTGGTCTGGAACATTGAGGAAAGACATCAGCAATGATTTTCAAGAAGCAAACTGGGAAGGGTTATAAGGTCTTATCCAAACAATTTAAAGTCCATCATTCTACAGGGAGAAGGACTATTCAAAAGTGGAAAACATTTAAGGCAGTTGTCCACACTCTTTTTGAAGTTGATAACTATTGTATAAAATATAATCTTCCCAAGAGTGAACGTCCAACAAATTCACCCCAAGGTCAGACTGCAAAGACCTGAGTTACATCTCAGACTATACAGCCCTAAGTTATGACCGTACAATTAGAACAAGAGTGAACAAGTATGGTTTGTTTGGAAGGTTTGCCAGGAGAAAAAAAAAAAAAAAAAGTCAGCACGGCTCAGATTTGCAAAGTTGCATCTGAACAAACCACAAGACCTCTGGAATAATATATTTTGGACAGACGAGAGCAAAGTGGAGATGTATAGCCATAATGCCCAATGCCACGTTTGGAGGAAACCAAACCCAGTATATCAGGACAAACTTCTCAGAATAACTGTCAAGCACAATGGTGGAGGGGTGATTATATGGGCTTGTTTTGCAGTCACATGAACTGTGAACCTTGCAGTCATTGAGTTGACCATGAACTCCTTTGTATACCAAAGTATGCTAGAGTCAAATGTGAGGCCATCTGTCCGACAGCTAAAACTTGGCCGAAATTTAGTCATGCAACAGGACAATGACCCCAAGCACACCTGCAAATCTACAACCAGACCTCAGTCAAAGACCAGACCTCAACCCGATTAAAATGCTGTGGCGGGACCTTAAGAGAGCGGTGTATAAGCAAATACCAGCAAACCTCAATGAACTGACGCAACATTGTAAAGAAGAGTGGGCCAAAATTGCTCTACAACGGTGTGGAGACTGATAAAGTAATACAGAAAATGATTACTTCAAGTCATTGCTGCTGAAGGTGGTTCTACAAGCCATCAAATCATAAGGTGTACTTAGTTTTTCCATACATGGCTTCTCCATTTTTGGCTTTTTTTTACAGTGGTAACTATATTGGTCAACAGTAAGTAAAATTCACAGAACAACAAGTGAAAAGCAAGGCTGCCATCCCATCTAGCTGTTGGAGAGAATATACTTTTAAAAGATAGACCCTGTGGTACTTACACCTCACGTTTAAAATCTTTTACACTTTCAGCCAGCCCCATCTGCACAAGATGGTTAATGATTTGCTTTCTGGTCCGTGTACCAGGCTTCAGATTGGCCAGTATACTATCAACCACATCACCATCTTGCAAACAAAAGAAAAACAGTGGTTAAGCTTCTGGACAGAATTAAACAAAGTCACTTGCTTCTGTGGTTAACTTCATTTCAAAGCTTAAAACATTTAATCTGTTTATACAGTTTACCAAGTCATAACTCTCACTGACACAATATACAGCACAGTAAGGGGTCGTAAATGAGGAGGGTCTGAGAATAACAACCATGGGTTAATCATTTATTATTATTATTATTTGCAATAATAGAGATTGGATTGTGTCAAAAGGGCATGGAGGGAGAGAGTGTGGAAGAGAAAAAAAAAAGTGAATAATACATTTTGGGCTCAATAGTTCAAAGACCATACCACCTTGAATGGAGTGTAAAATACATCAGACGATGACATGGACCTAGAGGTTATCACATAAATGTAAGCCTGTGATCATTTGATAGTCAAATTAGATGGGCTAAGTGGCTTTTAAAATGCACACATACTTCATATTTCAATGATCTTAAAATGACACTCCAGACATTTGGATATTATGTGAGCAAACATACCGGATTTGAAAATGCTTTAGCAAAGTTCAATTCCAGGATAATTTCACTAACAAAAATTGATTTGCATTGTAGATCAACCCCCAACAATTTTATCAATATATTTATTTTTAGAACATATTTTAATGCACTAGCTACATCAGTAATGTCCAACAAAAACCCCACCACTGCTCAGATTTAAAAGTAAAAATTTTTGTTTGCCTGGTGCACCCAGGGTTTTTACTTGACTAACAGGTTGCACCAAGATGCTAGGATATTGTGTGCAAAGATTGTCAGCTCAAACTTGTTTCTCTATGTCGCAGAGAAAGGGTTTTGAAGCGTTCCTCAACACACAAACAGCAGGCAGCATGACACTCTGATCTTAGCCATGTGCATGACACACTGATCTGAGCCATGGACAATAGGACAGAGAAATTGAGAAAGTTAGTACTGAGCGAGATCCTTTGCTAAAGGCTTCAGAAAGCTGGTCTGTTCTTTAGAGAGCCATATATGAGGTCGGGCCCATGGCTGGGATTGTAGGCAACAAAGAAGAGTTTGGCAACAGTGTATCTTCATTCTGTGTTGTGAGAGAATTGCAGGTCATGTTCTAATGCACAACAGAGGCCAATTATTCTGGGCAGCACTGTGTCTATTGAGAGTGCATGCACAATGGTGACATCACTCACTCAATATGCCACCAGAGAAAGGCAATGGATTGTGGGCATCTCAGCTTCACGTTATGATGCCGGGATTGAACATGTTTGGCTGTGAGTAATTGTAGACGTGATATAGTTTTGTGATATTGGGGCTATGGAAGAATATACATGAGCAATAAATTGGAATAAACGTTTTTATTGGCAGGGACTGGTTGCTTTAGGAAAGGGGGTAAACAGTTATGATTGTTGGGGAGTGGAGGATGTAAAAAGGAAATATGGCAGGTGATTCAGAGCAGTATGTAGTGTGCATGCATTTTTTATACAGAGCTCCACAAAAAAGTGCAGTATGTAACAGTTAATTATTTAAATGTGTATATAGGTGTTTAAATATATATTCAAAGAGGGGGGCATAGCATTGTTCAGCATAACAATAAATTCATTAACTGAACAAAAACAGCATAGGTATTAAAAAAAAATAAAAAAATTACAGAAATCAGGAAACTGAAAATATACTACATATTTACCACCCTTTTAAACAACATAGTTTTCAGCAAAGCTGTGATGCAAAACCCATCCTAAAACCAAAAAAAGCATGGATCCTTACAAATACTTACTTTCCACCTCCTTATATTGCAAATAGAGGCCTCGGAGTTCCTCTTCCTCCTCTGGAGTCCATTTCAAACGCTTTCGATTTGCATCACTGTGGTATTGAGGAGATAACAATATCAAGGCATTAACAATACAGCAAATAAAGAAATCAAGAAAGCACAACTAGATGCAAAATGTGCCCAGGGAGTGTTACAAACAATTTATCTGAAGGACCGAAGAGAAATACATTTTGGGTTTCCCTTAGTCAATGTCATTAGTAGCACAAAGTTACCGTCTAATTTAGATTTGTGGGTACTTCATTAACTCAAGACCCCAAATGTGGCATTCAAACATTGCCCATTGTATCATAAAGAGCCTCACCTCTCCTCTTCACCAGGTTTTTTGTAACCTTCTGTCATCTCTCGTACCACAGTGGTATTTTTCCAGAAAAGAAGCTCCACATAAGCTTTGTTGTTTGTTGCTGCCAGGGCAAAGAATTTGTTCAGGATATATTTAGAGAAGGATACCAATTCCTGGAAGAATACAAAATACAATAATACAGCTTTAAAAACTCTGTAAACATGCTATAATAGTTATGTTAAATGAAAATTTCAAGCACCATAACCACTACAGTGGCTATGGTGCCAGAAGTGGATTGGCACTCCCCCATTCTAAAATAACTTGACTTCTAACCTAAAAGTTGCCCACAACACTGCAGAGGAAGCATTTTTTTTCAAAATACTTTGAGAAAAATAAATAAATGAACCATAGCCATGAGACTGGCGTTAAGCATTTCTCCTGTGGTACATGTTAAAATGAAACTCATTGTATCATTTAAAAGGATAATTCTACTCTCTAAGTTCTCATTACAAATGAAATGATTTAATGAATCAAGCATTGGCAACGCAAACAGAGTTCATTCATTTTTCAGGATGACTTGGCCAGACTTTTACCATTTAAGGATCCAAACATTACACAATCATTGTTTGAAGACCAAGTGAAGCTTACCAAACAAACAGTGATATCTCAGTTATTCTAGGATAGATCTTAGGAAAGTTATGAAACTGCATACAAGATTGAATATAAACCTACATGCTCAGATCCATATTTTAAGAGGTTTCATTAGCTCTTACCTTGTAGACGCTAGCTGCTGCATCACTCAAGATACAATTGAAAAGGCAGAACACTGAGAGCTGGAAGAGAAGGGCCTCCATTTTGAGATCATAAGCAATGCGGTGCAGCATTTTCACAGCACAGTGGTTGGTGTGAGCACTGTTCTGCTGGTAGTTCTTCAACAACAGCACATAGGTCTTCACCACACTGGAATTGGCAAATCTACCATACAAGTATCATAACAGAATATTAAAACGTTAGAAAGGGTGCGGTTATTATAGTAATGTATATGCCTGAATCCATAACTTAAATATAATCTAGTTTTAGAATACATCAGGCCTGGTTTTTCACTAACATAAATTTGCAATTCCCAACAGTTTAGTTGATTATCCTGAAATTTTTTTTACAAGCAAGGACAAAGGTTTCTCTGTTGTTTTTAAGAGTGCCTTAGGAGCACATTTCAATGGTAATCAATAAAATTGTGTTGAATCTGATCAGAATATCTACTTGCTGGATTCTAAAACTTCCCATTTTAGAAAATGAGCTATATGAGAAATACATATTTTTATTCATATGTTTTCAGTCCCTAAGAAATGCTGACGAATAGCATATTTTGTAAGTGTAAATTCACATGAAGCAGTCTTCTACTCTGTTGCAATGCCTATCCACACGTTGAATTCTTTACTTTCCTCCAGAGATTTTTCAATTAAAGGGTTACTCCATGCATAACTACTACAGCCCACTGTAGTGGTTATGATGTGAGGAGTACTCTGGCGTCAGACCCCAATAATGGGGCAAACTATTTTGCCCTCTTAGCCGGATCCTTGTTGGGAACCAAGTCTTCTTTGCTGAGTAGTGAAGTGTATCCGGCTTCTGCGGAGACCAGATGTCGATCTCGCTGGTCAATCATTGGCTGAGTGTCTCAGTTGAGTGCCATCAGTCAATAAATAACCTTCTGTGCATTAAGTATGTTTGCCAATGACTGTACCAGACTTGGATACACCTTTTGGCAATATCAAGATCTCTTTATGTGCAGCGTTTCACTGTACAAATTACAAGCACCATGAACCCTTCAAAACTCCAAAATTATCATTTTGCTTGGAGAATCTCTTTAATCAATAACTGCGCTTGTAAATTCATGGGCCATATTGGTCCTTGCTAAGTGTTAGGTCTCCTAGATTTTAAGCTTACAGCTAGGGCTTATTTTCTTTCATACCAATTTGACTCATGTTTTTTTTCCCCCCCAGTCTTTAGCCCCTTTTAAAAAAAAAAAAAAAAGCCCCTACACCCCTTTTTTTTTTTTTAAAAAAGGACCCTTAGTACAGCACAATGAGGTAAATGCTGTCTTTTATATAAATCAAATAAGTACAAATCTTGGAGTTGGACAGATTACTCAAACAGCTAATAAAAAATTATAAAGAAAGTCTGTTAGATTTTTGCATGCTCTGCAGAATTATATTAAACAGGCTAGCAGTATTTGTATATATTACCCGTTTGGATCCCTTTATATTGTATAGAGCAAAGGGACGTTTCAGTACTTCATAAATCATTAACCTGTGGTTATAACTGTCCTGGTAATGTTTCAATGCAATTAAAGATAAAGAGCATGTGGCTTTAGCCATGTGCTTTAAGTCAAAACATTTTTTGTAAATAATTCTTACAGATTTATTAAATAGGCAACAGTGTTTGAGTTTGATTTGTTTTAATAGTTACAAGTCATCTTGATCATATAAAGCCTTTATACCTTCTCATGTAATCCAGAAAATTAAACTCCTTTTCGGATACTTGGACAGAGGTAAGTTCTTCTTCTTCAATCTCCTCCTCCTCCTCCTCCTCTTCTGGTAGATCCTCTGCTTGAACATGTTTAGATCCTGAAAAAGAAAATGTTTTGGGTTTCCTTTAATCCTATCATTCTGTGATCATAACGGATACATAGCTTAAGAACTGTTATGTATTAATGGGATTGTTTAGGATTCATAAAAAAATAAAATAAAATAAAAATATGAGATTTTACTCCTATATAAAAAATATCACCTATTTTGTGCTAATGGCACTGGTAGCAAATGGAAACAAATATTTACCTGAATAACATTTCCAAGATGGTTACAGCAACGTATCTTATTAAATGTATACAAAACTGCCAATAGCAGCCATACAATTACAGATGGAAAAAGCAACATAACCACCACATTGCTCAGCCAATGAATACCATGTATACTCACTATGAGTTGAAACAATATTGCAGTTTTTACCAAATAACCAATCTGTCACCTGTTTAAGTTATGTGTTTATATGATTGTGCTCTCTCTCCTTTAACCCCTTAAGGACGGAGCCAAATGTACACGTTGTGAACAAAACAAAATGTAAACAAAACCTGGCATTTGCGCTACATGTCTGTCCAACCGTAATACACCTCTTTCATAGTAAATGCACCCACCCTTATTATATACCATTTTATTCAGGGGAAACAGGGCTTTCATTTAATATCAAATATTTAGCTATGAAACATAATTTAATATGAAAAAAATGGGAGAAAATATGATTTTTAAAAAATTTTTTAGTTCTACATGACATTTTAACGTCAGTGTCATAATACTGTTTGCTTTTACTGCAATAAAATACACATATTTGTATTCAGTAAAGTCTCACGTGTAAGACAGTACCCCCTATGTACAGGTTTTATGGCGTTTTGGGAAGTTACAGGGTCAAATATAGCACGCTACATTTGAAATTGAAATTTGCCAGATTGGTTACGTTGCCTTTGAGACTGTATAGTAGCCCAGGAATGAAATTTACACCCACAATGGCATACCATTTGCAATAGTAGACAACCCAAGGTATTGCAAATGGGGTATGTCCAGTCTTTTTTAGTAGCCATTTGGTCACAAATACTGGCCAAAGTTAGCGTTAGTATTTGTTTGTGTGTGAAAAATGCAAAAAACGCCAATTTTGGCCAGTGTTTGTGACTAAGTGGCTAATAAAAAAGACTGGACATACCCTGTTTGCAATACCTTGGGTTGTCTACTATTGCAAATGGTATGCCATCATAGGGGTAATTTTCATTCTTGGGTTACCATAGGGTCTCAAAGGCAACGTAACCAATCTGGCGAATTTTAATGTGAAAAAAATGAAACGCAAGCCTTATATTTGACGCTGTAACTTTTGAAAACACCATAAAACCTGTACATGAGGGGTACTGTTGTACTCGGGAGGCTTCACTGAACACAAATATTTGTGTTTCAAAACAGTAAAAAGTATCATAGCAATAATATTGTCCGTTTAATGCTGTTTGTGCGTGAAAAATGCAAAAAACGTCACTTTTACTGGCGATATCATCGTTGTAATACATTTTACTGTTTTGAAACACTAATACTTGTGTTCAGCGAAGTCTCCCGAGTAGAACAGTACCCCCCATGTACAGGTTTTATGGTGTCTCGGAAAGTTATAGGGTTAAATATAGTGCTAGCAAATTAAATTCCCTTTACTTTCGGCATGGGTTGTCATGCAGGTCCTGCTAATTGTAATTAATTAAGATACCTAATTATGTAAAATATTACATAAATATATATGTAGAATCAATATATGTATATATATACGTATGTGTATATATATGTATATATCTATATAATTTTTTTAAAATATTTTTATTTATATATAGGTATATATATAGTGATATATACGTATATATTTATGTGTATAAATATATATATTATTTCGCTCTATGTGTATTTTGATATATATATATATATATTAATTTCACAATACAGTTAGAACGAAATAACACACATCTATATATTTTTTAATTATTTATTTTTAATTATTTTTGTAATTTTATTTTTTAACGTATTTACATTTTAATTTTTTATATAATATATATAAATATATATATAACAATAATTATATATATATTTAATCAGTATCAGTCTACGTGTAATTTGATATTAATATATATATATAATTATATATATATTAATAGTAAAATACACCTAGACGGTGTACATGTGTGTATGTATATGTGTATATATATACTTTGATCATATATATAATATATATATATGATCTAAGTATATATAATTTTATTTTTTTACACTTTTAACTTATTTTACTTTTATTTTCAGCCAGCAGGGGGACCCCCTGTAATTACAGGCAGCCCCCCTGCTGGCAATACAGAAGCCAGCTATACCCAGCCATGTGATTGTGGGGTCCTCGCTAGGACCCCACTCTCACACGGCCGGGGGGCTTCCTGGAGGACGGTCGTGCCGTGGGGGGCTCCCTGGGAGCCCCCCCACCGCGATCGCCGGCGTGGGACCGCCGGCGACCGGGTAAGTACAGAAAGACCGGAGGGCGTACTATTACGCCCGGCGGCGTTTAGAGCCGCCTATTAGAGGACGTAATAGTACGCCCTGCGGTCTTAAGGGGTTAACTATTAAACTTGTTAGTATTTCCAAGACACCTTGCCCATTTTCATTTCCCACTAGACAGAGTATGATTTTATTGACAAGTCTATAAAGAGCATGGAAAATGTTACCTTTACAATAGGTGTACACACACACACTCTCTCTCTCTCTCTCTTACTTGGAAGATCTGCAAAGATAATTTGTTTCAGTAGCTCAATCTCTTCCTCGTGTTCCATTTCTAAAGTTCCAAATACATCTCCCTCAGGCCAGACTTCTCTGAAAAAATAAAATAACTTAACTTCAAAGGCAAAAATCACCAAATCTACCAGCACAATAAAAAACAACGATGCATGGGTGTTTGCACTAAACAATAATTACCTGGCAGAACGTAGTAAGACAAGGGATTCTGGTGCTTTACCAGATAGAAGTCCATTCTGGATTCGAATTAGAGCTTCAGTTCTCTGCTCTTCAACTGGTATCTCAGAGGCTGCATCAAAAGGCACAACAGCTTCAGGAAGATCTTTTGAGCCCTGGATGTATAGTATAAAAATTAAAAAGAAATAACCATCCAACATCCTCTCCTAATATATTTTTATTGATAAGATTTTTTATTTTTTTTTAAATTATCTCTTACCACGACACATTCTTTAAGTTCCTCAGATATCGATTTCCAAATTTCCTCCAGCTCCTCTGGACTCTTGTGTTGTTCTTCTGAAGACTGTTTACGCTTCTTTTTCTTTTTTTTCACCCTCCGATTCTTAGAGAGAAAAGAACATCAGCCAAAATACATTGCAACCTTTTTCCTGCATCTTATAGTAAATCAAACACATTGTGCTACTGCACTGAACAGAACAGGAAATTGGAAAACCAAGATGTCTGGAAACTAAAAAATCAGAAAGATGCCATGTGGTGATCACAGGACTCATGAAAAATGCACTGTTGCAACTTTTCTTTCAAAAATTGTTTATTAAAGGTCAGATGAGAAAAATTCCATACAGAAATGTAACATTGGCATCTTGCAATGTAAAAGTAAAAAGAATAATTTCACGTGACAAAGTCAAATGCTAAAATGAATACAATTAAAGTTAACAGTCTTATGGTTAAGTTGTATAAAACCAAAAAATGACCCCGGAAACAATTCTTGAATTAAAAGCATTACACACATTGGCATCTTTTAATGACAGGCACAAGTCATGAATGCAAGGCAGGTGGCAGAATACTGTTCCTTAACACCACATGCAAAACAATTACCTTCCTAGCCAACATCTGAGCTTCTGTACACTGTTTTTGCAGCTGTACTTCGACCTAACTATAGGTAAAAAAAAATAAAAAATAAAAAAACACACCTTACCTGGACCACAATTGTCCCTTTTGTTTTGCAGAACTTTTCCAGCATTTTGAGGAACAAATGAGTGGTTTCTACCAGGTCTTTCAAGAAAGACCGTGGCTGTTTGGTTTCATCAAATTTTCTGAAAAGGGCTAGAAAGAGTTCCCGGTACTCCATCAAGTAGAAAATATTATCTGCAGAGAAGAAGATATGCCAAGTGAACTTGGCATTAATTATTTTGACAGTATCTTGCTCCAGTTTATACCCCATGCAAACATTTAGAAAGTCTTGCCATTGCACATCTCGAAAAAAAAACCTGGTTTTATATAGTCGTAGAGAAATACAAATTTAACTATGGGGCAAATGATCCTTTTTATGCATTGTAAGAAAATACATTTAAAGAGACCCCTCTCTAACCAGGAAGAGACACTTGGCACATAATTCCTTGTTCAACATATATGAGTGGATATTGCTAAATTAAACTAAACTGATAGCAGCCATATGAATGACCACTGCTATTAGCTTACACAGTCTGGTTCACATGGAAGGAGAGAGAAAGCAAGAACTCAGTTTAAGATGATTGGCTCTTGCTGAACCTCAGGGGCCAAACCACTGAACAATGCATTGTCAGGTTTAGATAGTGCCAATATGGAAAGACAAATAGTGTTCCTTATTGTGTTACAGTATACCATATCAAGGAAGCAAAGAGGCATGCCAGAATTAGGGCTTGTCTCAAATGTGATATTGTATATTTAAAAAGCTGGCAAAGCTTTTACATGTTACATAGTATTTAAATTTTCATTGACAGAAATTTTCTGACTATCCATCATCAGAAATCCCATTCCTCCGCCTACAAGGACAGAATGAAATGGAGCTGCAGAGTAAAGTAGACGTTGAGGTTAAACTGTTCATAAACTGTTCAACTCCTAAAGGTAAGGAAGCACCTGGAACCTAATGGCACCATAACAACTTAATTTCAATGAAGTTGTTATGGTGCCGGAGGATTCCCTTAACACAAAAGAGCAAAATAGATAAAAATAACAGGTTGACACTTGCATATCAAAAATGTTGGTTTGTTTCGGTTATGAATTAGACAGTTGTTGTTGTCCTTAAGGGTATGCTGCAAAAGTTTTAAATAAAGGCAAAACACAGTAAGAACATACATAATGAGCATCACATAACAGGAAGACTTACTTTTAATGACTTTGCTGCTTTCTCGGACGGCCTCCTCTTTTGAATGATCCATTTCATTTACATTAGTCAGAAGTTCCTGATACGCTTTCAGGGCCAAGTGCATTCTATTACATGAGAAGAATGTGTATTATTTTATATTTAACATACAAATAATATAGATAAATTGGAACACAAAAGAAAACTATGTGCCATTACTAAGAGCCATTACAAAACCATGGGTTGAAAAATAAAAATTGATTTATTACCGGCATTTTTAAAAGCGCCAACATATTCTGCAGCACTGAAATTTGTTGTTAAAGCACCCACTTCATGTTCTGACATTCTGGGAGAAGGGTCCAATCATGCAAAACAATTTATATCACTGTATGCTGAAGAGTACCCATAAACACAATGTAGGTTAGAAAACCCTGCTATTATTGACCGCTCACACAAAGATCTACCTATATTTCTAACCTAAATAGGTTTTTTTTTTTTTTTTTAAACAAAAGACCAAGATAAATGTATTCAGATTTTTCTTTATAAGTGTGCCTTCATAGCCTTGTAGATACCTTCTACAAAAACCCAAACTTAAAAAGGGGTAGTAGTGGTAACAAAGAAGGAAGTCAAATTCTTACTGTAAGTCTCTTAAAGGAACACTCTAAACCCATAATGCAATTCAACTTGCTGAAGTACTTTGGTGGTTACTGTGTCTTCTTGATTTAGGAGTGCTTATTTCTTTAATGGAGTGCCCATGCAACACTCACCTGCGTGCCCAAGATGAAGCTTCTTTCTTGTCAGTTACCATCATCTCATAATAGTTAGTGAGGTTTTGTTCTATGTAGTGAAAGGTCCTGATACTAACAGTCTCAGACACGAGCTCTGGTCTAAAGCGGAACTTCCGGTTAAAGGCCATGAAAAAAGCCATTGACCATAGGTAGTAAGTTTCATCATGCTGCTGAGCCTTCTCCCGAATCAGGTGGTCCTGAATGACAAGCAGTCACAAAACCAGATGAGCTGGCTTGGCAGATTCTCATCTACACAACGATTTGCTTAAGATTTATCACAAACAATAGCATAAGTTTAATATTGTGCATGTGGGATACTAATAATCAAATCATTAAAGGGATAGATGCATACATTTATGTACCACACATTATTGGAAGTATTTTGTTTTCATATAAAAATTACTTTTTGCATTACATACGGTCTGGGCATAGCCTGGCATACATTTTAAAAGGACTTCATACCATGATGCTGTAAGCACAGAATCAAGAGAAGGATGTTCAACTGTGCATGCTAGGCATTATGGGAAGCAGAGCACATGTGTGCTTGGATTATCTCAGCAGGAAAAGAGCACACATGTGCACCTGACTCACCTTCACAATGCACATGAGCCGGTTATAGCAGTTCTCCAAGAAATCAATGCAAAACTCCTTCAGAAACAGACGGACATTAAGTGCTGAGCGGCGGCGTGGCTCAGTGTCCCTGGCCTGTTGTCGTCTCTTTGGAACCCTCTTCATGTCTTTTCCAAGATCATGGGTATAATTCTTAAACTAATTGCAAAGAGAATCAATATGTTAAAAAAAAATACAGACAAAAATCTATTTTTTTGTTTTTACTGAGGCAAGTAAATAATTTTCTACACTATCTAATTAGAGGTAAATTATAAATGAACAATGATATGCCATCACATTTGATAAGACCTTCAGAAGGAACCCAGTTGATCAGTTAAAACAATCTTACATTATGAAGACCCTTGTGGTAAATGATATCTTTGTCTCCGATAGATTTCAAGCCTTGAACCACATAAGATCCACCAAATCGAGAATGCCTGAAGAATACACAAAAAAGATGATCATTACACACCGCTTCACGCTGTTCAAGTGCAAAAGAAGGCCTTAAGCAAAAACAAAAATGTGTGCCTTACCTGACGAATTGTTTTCCTTCCAGATGGTAAGAGTTCATGAGTCGTGACATTTGTGACAAGTCCCTCCCAAAATGAAGAGGTATAACTCAAAGCAATACTTCAGCACACTCTTCCTACTCAAGCACCTACTCTAGAATCCTCAGTAAAGCAGGGGAGGAAGAAAGTGAGCAGGGCAGTTGAATCACAAGCTAAGGCCCATATCACCATCCTACCAAAAGCATGCATACTATTAATGGACATAAAACATCAAAACCACAAACTTCGGCAAATGTATACAAGATGACCAAGTATCTACCTGGAGGTAGCTATACCACTCAGGCTTGTTAGGCAGGGCACAAGTTACCCACATCATGTACTTAAGCCAGTTGGCAAAAGAGTTAGCAAAAACCTTTTGACCCTAACAAGGTCTAGAAAAGTGGAAGAGCCCTTCCTAAAGGGACTAGTGGCTTCAACATGCCACATATACAAAATGCTCTCTTTGTCAATCTAAGGTTAACAAGTCAAAAAAAAAAATGTTCAGCAACCCTCCTGGCAGAGAAAATTACAGGAAGAAAACCATTTTTCAAAGAACTGTAATTTTCCATTCTATTCCTAGATGGAAAAGAAACCTATTGTAGCATCTTGAGCATCTGGTCCAGACTAAGAATCAGAGGCTGCACATGTAAGAAGGTGATTTAACGTCTAAATGGCAGAAAATTGAGCAGTAAGACTGCACGGGCATGATCTATACACCAAAACTGCTTCATTAAGCTTAAGTTGTTTTGGTGATCATAGTGTCCCTTTATAATGCTGGGCGTGATAGGAAGGTGTCCGAACACACAATGCATCGCAGTTTGCGGTGTATGGGACTGTGTAGCCACAGACCGGTCAGAGTGCCCATATCTACCACTGAAGGCGCCTTCAATAGAGACATAAGCATCAGAACTAGGCCTTGGAGCAGTGGAAGAAGGTTGCCTGGTCAGATGAATCACATTTTCTCTTAGATCAGGTGGATGGCTGGAATGCTGTTTACTTGGGAAAGAGATGGCAGCAGAATGCGAGACAAAAGCAGGACGGCGAAGGCAGTGGTATGCTCTGGGCAATGTTTTGCTGGGATACATACCAACTACCTAGAGATTGTTGCAGACCACATCCCTTCATGGTAATGGTGTTCCCTGATGGCAGTGTTCTCTTTCAAAAAGGATAATGCACAATGCCACACTGCAAAAAGTGTTCAGCAATGGTTTCAGGAACGTGACAGTTTAAGGTCTTGTGGAGTCCATGCTTCAACACATCAGAGTTGTTTTGGTAGCAAGTGGCTTTAATGTTGTGGCTTATCCATATATACCTCTTTCAGTTGCGAGTGACTATATCCCATATATCACGGTGGGCTCTCATCATCCAAGGAAGGAACCCAAGTATAGCAGCAATGGTTTCCTAATGAGAGATATTTTCCCCCCATTAAGTAGTATCCTGAAGACGAGTGCGAAGTTAAAAAGTACCCAAAAGCTTGACAAAGCAGTTATCCAAAGCTGGACATATATTTGTAAGCGTTAGAATCAGCAGATGTATGAATTAGTTTATTGCTACACAGTCAATAACCAAATCTATAATGAGTAACCTGAATGATGATCTGCTAGCTTCCATAGGTTACATGCATTAGTATGCAGGAGCCATATAACTGAAAAAATAATCTATAGATATGAAGGAAAAAAAAAAAAAGAAGAAGAACAAACTCCACCTCTGGCAGCTTTCATTAGACAGCCTAGAATGAAAGAGGCTTACTAAATGTTAAATCTGTGCAGATTTTATGCACAGACACTTATTCATTGGCAGAGAGCATTAAGCTGCTGCTCTCAGACAATGAATGAATCGCAGTATCAGCATCAGTTTTCTGCAGTTTTGCAAAAACTAGACCCAAGTAAGTGGCAAAGCATTGAAAAACGGTTTTGCTCCTTACCAGGAAAAGGCTGCATGGACCTCCTAGCACCATAGCCTCTCCTGAGGGCTAATTATGCTTGTAGTAACCTTTTTAATATAACAGGTGCCCTGTAACATTATGATGGAAGAAAATCCCAGTGTTGGCGGAAAAGAGTTTGTAGTGTTTATCAGTTTTAATTTGTATTAATGCAAGGATTAGGAGATTGGACAGATGGATTTGTGTCCACCGGTCAGATCTGCTAAGCCTTGCATGTTCTATAGAAAGTTGTGAAATACTGGAGTGCTTTGATCAGTACTCACCTGGAACCGCGCTGGAACACTCTGCTCTTCTTCTCTGCCATTTCCCTCTGACGCAGGATCTCCAAATCTTTTACATCAGGGTCTCTTGAACGTGCCTGACCAGTTGCAGCAAGCTGTTCTGCATTCTGAAAAGCATTTAAAGAACACTTTATTTGGGTCAAACTTTTTGCACTCCAGTATTCCACAACCTTGTATAAAGACATTTACATTTATTTTATTTTTTAGCAACAATAATAAACTAAAATAAAAAATTAATTTGCATTAGTGCCAGTACCTATGGTTCCATATCTATCCATAACAGGATGCAGCTTTAGTATGGTAACCTAATGAAATAAAATCCACCAACCCCCACCCATTGGTGGTAACTCATAAGAACTTATATTTTACAGGCCTCATCCCAATAGCTGCCCAGTTTCTAGATTTAATACAGTGAGTAGCTGCTAGGTGCTCACTGTTTAGTAGACATGCCCTAACCCATGTCATACCTAGGAAGGTTTGAAAGGTTCCCAATGATTCCCATAGGATATTTATTTTAAACATGTTAACGTTGCGATGGCTAGCAAGCGCTTTCCAGCTCTCACACTGCCATGGTGTTTGTTTTTTTTACACTATCTGCATGCATGCCCATGCCAGTGGACAATTAGTACTTCAAATTATCATTCGCTCGCTAACGTGCATCCTGCTAGATGCATTCGGTCCCAATTTACATTAAAATCAGTGCATGGTAAATATTCTGAATCGTATATTTTGTATAAGGTTCGTATGCACAGATTTTAAAGGGACAGTTTAGGCACTATAACGTCATCCAAATGAAGTTAGTGTCTGGAGGCGCCTAGGCACACTTACCTCATGGGGTTTAAAATGTTCTTAAAAGGTTTAACCCCAAATTGAGCCTCTAGCGCCGGTCTCTGCTTCCCCCAGGTGTCATCTGGCTTCTGACGTTTCAGTTTCCAGAAGTACAGAGTGCCACCGGGCAGCTTACAGAGATTGGCTTTTCAGAAGCTGGATGCCATCTGGGGGAGCTGAGACAGGTGCTGGATTCTCACCTTAAGGTAAGTGTTCCCAGGGGCCTCCTGGCACCATAGCAACTTTATTTAGACAAACAGAAAGCATGTGGGAGATGGTGCCGATTCAGTCAGCTTGACTGATTTCGGAACAGAATTAGCTTTAGTATATACAACACTTTCCATCAAATTTCAGCAAATTTTCACCGGATTATATCCATTTCTATAAAACCCAAGCTTTGCTAAATATACCCCCACTGTTTTCTTCTGTGTGTTAACGGCATCTAAAACCATTGGCAAATTGGTTATTATTAAAGGTTCTTGTGGGACAAAAATTTTTTTGTTTACAAGTGTTTTGAGAAGCACTGGCCCCAGACCATTTGCATACTTACAATGAACTGTGAATTACCTGATCTCTGAACATAAGAGAAACAGTCTCCAGAATATGCATACACCACTGTTGCTCTGTATCAGAACTGGCCAGAAATTTTACAAGGTCATCCATCCCACTCATGTGCACTGCCCAAAGCACCCGATCATGAACACTGGCATCATCGTCTACATTCTGAAAGAGAAAGCGAGCATTACTATTGAGAAGTAATTGATAAAGCAACATTTTCATTTTTCTACGGTTGTATTTAGAATGATCATGTGAAAATATTATTAGAGATAATATATACAGCAGTGTATACAAAATTGGGCTTTGAGGTTTTCATCCTACACAATTACAATGTAGATTATTTGCATTCTCTTTAGTATGAAGAGAAAAGGTTTCCTAATCGACTGTATTCAGCTGAATGGCAGCTGCACATAAAATGTAGTCCGCCAGTAGAGGGGATTTCTCCACTAGAACCGAGTGAAACTCTGCACTCCTCCAAATGCAGCGATAATCCGCATTTGATTTTAGGACAGAGTCTGGCTGCACATGCCTAGTTCAAATCCATTACTTTTCTATAAGAAGCAATGGATTTGAGGAAATTGCAGGTGATGTCAGCTTGAATGCTGTTGCTATCACACAAAGCCTGTCCCTCCTTGCTATTATCACTTTCTGTTAGCCTGAATTCAAGCAGTAGAAACACAGATAAACATGCAGACACAAACATGCAGAGCAGAGCCTTATCACCGTGCTGATCGCCACACAATGAACCAATGAGAGGAACAGAGAAAAGGCTGTTTAACCTCCGACTTTAGAGAAATCTAGACGTTTGATAACAATTCTTCTAGCACAATGTATAGATGTGATTTGATTCTCGGAAGAATCCCAGAAAGGCGGGTGAAACGCGTCACATGTGACGTCACAGGAGAGGCGGGCCCAGAAGAGATCACATGATCGGGACTGGCGAAACCCAGCAGTGACTACTGAATGGTGCAGGCCATTTATTCTGTTTACACATGCTTTTATGTGGGTAGTTTTAGCTGGCAATCACACAAATTGCAAAGTAAGAGTTTTTAATCTTTTTTTATAATAAATTGAAAACGCTACTATTTAATTAGGGGGTTTCTGCCTCGCTCTGTCCTGTATTTGCATAGAACCATCTGCTTACTGGGAACATATCATCCAGATCCTATCAGCACAGTGTGGAATACTTCCCTCTCTAGTGGAGCTTTTCAAACCCAGAGCCAGGGGTGAAATGGCTCTGGTCCATGTGAGTTCTCCCCTTTACCCCCTACTGTGTATTACACAATTCAGATTGTCTGCACTATATTCAGTTTTTTTACTTCTAGATCTAGTTTGTCATCAGTTCAAGCGCGCTCATTTTGGCAATTTTATGTAATTTGATTCTAAATTACTTAGGATTAAGTTGCAGTTTTACCAATTAGAATCTAACTTAATGCTTCGTTTATATTATTTTCAGGACTGCACATATTCGAGCCTGTAGCTATGCGAAGTAGGGAAAAGCTATTAATAGCATGAATACCTTTATGGCCATATAAAGGGAAACAAAGATTTTTATACATTTCTGTGTTTCCACAGGTTTATAAATATGTTATGAAAGTATGTTGAAAGACGTGTAAATGGAAAACAATTGAGTACACTATATGTTAACATTTTCTCTAGTTTAGTAATGGTCCAATAAGATTAGATGTTTAATGTTATGTTAAGCTCAGAATACCTTTAAACTCAGTCATAATACAGAGAAAAGGCAGACACATTTTGAGAACTGTAAACAGACACAGAAGTGCTCAAATTAATTTAACCCCTTAAATCCGGAGGACGTACAATTACGCCCTCTAATAGGCGGCTCTAAACGCCGCCGGGCGTAATTGTACGCCCTCCGTTTTTTGTTAACTTACCCGGTCGCCGGCGATCGCGGTGGGGGGGACTCCCAGGGAGCCCCCCCGCGGCAGATCCTTCTCCTCCGGTGCTCCCCGGCCATGTGAGAGTGGGGTCCTAGCGAGGACCCCACAATCACATGGCCGGGTAGGCTGCCTCCTGCATTGCCAGCAGGGGGGCTGCCTGTAATGGCAGGTGGTCCCCCTGCTGGCTGGAAATAAAATTAAAATTACATTTATTGGTGTAAAAAAAAAATAATATATACTTAGATCATATATATATATTATATATATATGATCTAAGTATATATATACACATATACATACACACACGTACACCGTCTAGGTGTATTTTACTATTAATATATATATAATTATATATTAATATCAAATTACACGTAGACTGATACTGATTAAATATATATATAATTATTGTTACATATATATTTATATATAATATAAAAAAAATAAAAATGTAAATACGTTAAAAAATAAAATTAAAAAAATAATTAAAAATAAATAATTAAAAATATATAGATGTGTGTTATTTAGTTCTAACTGTATTGTGAAATTAATATATATATATATATATATATCAAAATACACGTATAACGAAATAATATATATATCTATATACATAAATATATACGTATATATCACTATATATATACCTATATATAAATAAAAATATTTTTAAAAAATTATATAGATATATACATATATATACACATACGTATATATATACATATATTAATTATACATATATATTTATGTAATATTTTTACATAATTAGGTATCTTAATTAATTACAATTACCAGGACCTGCCTGACAACCCATGCCGAAAGTAAAGGGAATTTAATTTGCTAGCACTATATTTAACCCTATAACTTTCCGAGACACCATAAAACCTGTACATGGGGGGTACTGTTCTACTCAGGAGACTTCGCTGAACACAAATATTAGTGTTTCAAAACAGTATGATGATATCGCCAGTAAAAGTGAAGTTTTTTGCATTTTTCACGCACAAACAGCACTTACACGGACGATATTATTGCTGTGATACTTTTTACTGTTTTGAAACACAAATATTTGTGTTCAGCGAAGTCTCCCGAGTACAACAGTACCCCTCATGTACAGGTTTTATGGTGTTTTCAAAAGTTACAGCGTCAAATATAAGGCTTGTGTTTCATTTTTTCACATTAAAATTCGCCAGATTGGTTACGTTGCCTTCGTGACCCTATGGTAGCCCAAGAATGAAAATTACCCCTATGATGGCATACCATTTGCAATAGTAGACAACCCAAGGTATTGCAAACAGGGTATGTCAAGTCTTTTTTAGTAGCCACTTAGTCACAAACACTGGCCAAAATTGGCGTTTTTTTTGCATTTTTCACACAAACAAATACTAACGCTAACTTTGGCCAGTGTTTGTGACCAAATGGCTACTAAAAAAGACTGGACATACCCCATTTGCAATACCTTGGGTTGTCTACTATTGCAAATGGTATGCCATTATGGGTGTAAATTTAATTCCCAGGCTACTATACAGTCTCAAAGGCAACATAACCAATCTGGCGAATTTCAATTTCAAATGTAACGTGCTATATTTGACCCTGTAACTTCCCAAAACGCCATAAAACCTGTACATAGGGGGTACTGTCTTACACGTGAGACTTTACTGAATATAAATATGTGTATTTTATTGCAGTAAAAGCAAACAGTATTATGACACTGACCGTTAAAATGCCATGTAGAACTAAAAAAATCAAAAAAAATCTTATTTTCTCCCATTTTTTTCATATTAAATTATGTTTCACAGCTAAATATTTGATATTAAATGAAAGCCCTGTTTCCCCTGAATAAAATGATATATAATAAGGGTGGGTGCATTTACTATGAAAGAGGTGAATTACGGTTGGACAGACATGTAGCGCAAATGCCAGGTTTTGTTTACATTTTGTTTTGTTCACAATGTGTACATTTGGCTCCGTCCTTAAGGGGTTAAACAACTGATTAAGCAGCAAGGCAATTATAATCATGAAGCCTTTCAGCTCCTGATCTGGATCAGTACACAGCCTATTTTTGTGTACCCACTGTCACAGAAAATATGGGTATCAGGATAGTGATAAATGATCTGTGCATTTCACGATAATATAAAAGAAGGACAACTGAAATGTGAGTAAGTTAAACTTACCCTAACAGTATGCTAGCACTCTTGTGGGTCAGAAGCAAAGCTAAAAACACCTGGGTTTTTGCAATCATACCTTTTCTTCCTCTGGGTCAGCAGGAACATGAAGGATATTGCGCACCAGCAGAAGGATCCTTTCAATAAGCAAATTATGCTCTTCCTCTCGCTCTTCCCAGTCCTTAATAAAGTTCAGGCAACATATATTTTGGTTAAAAATGAGATATATATATAAAAAAAAAAATATATATATATTTTTTTTAAATAATACACTTCAGCTATCACCAATCATCCCTAGTATTATATGAATCACAAATGGGAATATGTAGGAGTATGCAGACTAAAATGTAGCAGAACATTTTTTTTATCTAGCGCAGCATAAGTACATAGATTGCTATGGGTGGATTAGCAAAAAAATCAACATGAGAAAAAGTATAACGTGCAGTTTAGTTAATCAGGCCCAATGGTGAAATCTAAATTTATTAGATGAGCAAGCCAAAATACAAATGTTTAGAGACACATGTCCCTCTATCAAGGGTATTGTTACATTAATAAAAGGAACATTTGTATTTTGGCATACTCTTCTATTAAATTAAGGTTTCACCATTGGGCCTGACTAAGCTGCATATTGTATTTTTTCTCCAGTATTATATGATCATGAGTCAGAGAAACAAACATGAAAAGTAGAATAATTTTAAATAAGGATTCCTAGCATTAAATTAAAATGTGAGATCTATTTAATAGTAGAGAATTTGTTTTTAACTAGTTTTATAAATTATGTTTTACACTTGTTTAACAATGTGTCTGGTTTAAGGAAACAAATACAAAAAATATATATTTAAATAAAAATCACTGTTACGTAAATATCCCCACAATGAAAACATGTATTTGTCTCTTGTCCAAAGCCTTTGCAAGTCTCTTCTTCTAAACCCATCCAGAGTTTCTGTGGCTGTCCAACCACAGACTTTCCAATGTAACTCAATGAGTGCTTTGAGCAATTGCCTGCCTCTTGAGTTTAGTTCCACAGAGCTACACAACCAGGAACAGGACAGGTTTCCTGATTGATAGCCAGGAGAGTGTAGCACGGTTAATTTCTATTGAAATCTGCACTTTTGTAAAATGTAAACAAAGCAAAAAAAAAAAAAAAAAAAAGGGGGATCTTAAAGTGGCACTGTCATGCCGAACTTACCTTTCCTCAATCTCTTCCTCTTCTCCCCCTCTCTCAGGATCGGTTCTTCTTTTCTTCATGTCTTCTTTAGTTTTCTTTAAAATCATAAGACAAAGTAGGGACTCTTTGCCTTATGGAGGATTCCTCCGCTTGACCAGCTCTGACCAGCGCAGGAGCAAAGTGTGCTTCATTTCCGCTGGTCAGGGCAATTTTACCATGATCCTTACCTTCCCTCTGTGTTCCCACGATGCTTCCTGTCACTTTACACAAAACTGCCGAATTGCGTTCTAACTGAAGGAGAACAGTATGTTCGTTTCTTTTAGAACGCAATTCGGCACTTTGTTCGTATCGGAATTTCATTCTAATGAATGAAACTCCAATCCTATTCTTGCTGTGGCTGCATCTTGCAGCCGCTTAGTAGATAACTCCCTAATTCCCACGGTATCAGGGAGTTATCTACTAAAAGGCTGAAAGACCTAAATTGGTCTTTCAGCCACATTTACTAATACTAAGTAAAGATTACTTAGTATTAGTAAATTAAATGCCCCTACTCGCTATACTGCGAGTAGGGGCATGTGTAGTAAGCAGTGAGCAGCTTATAGCTGCTCACTGTAAAAAAAAAACAAAAACAAACTAATAACCCCCCCCCATGCCCGTGGGGGCCCTAAATAAAGATGGGGGAACCTGGCCCCCCCCCCTGAGCGGTGGGTGGGGCCCTAAATAAAAGATACATGGGGGAAACTTGTCTCTGGCCCCCCCACCCCTGAGCGGTGGGTGGGGGCCCTAATAAAATAATAAGGGGGGGGACCTACTGTCCTCCCCCCTGGCCCCCACCCCTGAGCGGTGGGTGGGGGCCCTAAATGAAACACCCCCCCCAATCAAGGTGACTAGGGGTCCCAAGCCCCTAGTCACCCCCACCCAAAAAAACCTACCCCCTACCTACCCCCCTCACCCTAAAAATAGTGAGGGGGGAATAAAATAACTAACCTGTAAAAAAAAAATTAAACTTACCATTTGACGTCTTCTTTTTTCTAAAATCTTCTTTCTTCAGCCCCCAAAAAGGCTAAATAAAAAAAAAAAAAAGAGCGCAAAAAAAAATAATTAATCTATGTTCGCCCTTCGAGGGCACGCCGCAGACTGAGCTCACGCTGTGTAAAATGACTCAGAGTACGCTGATTGGCTTAAACCCACCAATCAGAGTGTTCTAAGCCTAATTGCAGGGCGGGGCAAGGCTTTATAAGCCTTGACCCGCCCTGCGGAGCTCAGTACGCGGCGTGCCCTCGAAGGGCGAACATGGATTAATTTTTTTTGGCGCTTGTTTTTTTTTTTTAAAGTGCGACGGGTATAATGGATTTTTATTTGGCCTTTTTGGGGGCTGAAGAAAGAAGATTTTAGAAAAAAGAAGACGTCAAATGGTAAGTTTCATTTTTTTTTTTTTTACAGGTTAGTTATTTTATTCCCCCCTCACTATTTGTAGGGTGAGGGGGGTAGGTAGGGGATAGGTTTTTTTGGGTGGGGGGTTGGTGACTAGGGGCTTGGGACCCCTAGTCACCTTGATTGGGGGGGGTGTTTCATTTAGGGGCCCCACCCACCGCTCAGGGGTGGGGGCCAGGGGGGGGAGGACAGTAGGTCCCCCCCCCTTATTGTTTTATTAGGGCCCCCACCCACCGCTCAGGGGTGGGGGCCGGGGGGGAGGACAGTAGGTCCCCCCCCTTATTGTTTTATTAGGGCCCCACCCACCGCGCAGGGGTGGGGGCCAGGGGGGGAGGAAGTAGGTCCCCCCCCTTATTGTTTTATAAGGGCCCCCACCCACCGCTCAGGGGTGGGGGCCAGGGGGGGAAGACAGTAGGTCCCCCCCCCTTATTGTTTTATTAGGGCCCCCACCCACCCGCAGGGGGGGGTGGGGGGGGAGAAGGCAGGTCCCCCCCCTCATTATCTTCATGGCCCCCACCCGCCGCTCAGGGGGGGGAGGGGAGGAGGACAATAGGTCCGCCCCCCCTTATTGTAATTTATGTCATTTTTTTTCAACAGTGAGCAGCCAGAGGCTGCTCACTGTTTAGTAGACATGCCCCTACTCACGGTATAGCGAGTAGGGGCATTTGGGAGATTTTAAGCTCCCTTGTGCAATTATGGGGGTCATATTGACCCCCATAGAGTGAGAGGGGGACCTGGGGGGGTTTATTAAGTGGTGGGGAGCACTGCTCCCTGCCGCTTCTATCTTTACATATTACAAGGAGGGAGCTGCGTGCCGGTAGCTCCCTCCTTGTAATAACCTGAACGAACAAACTAACACTGATACATTGTGTTAGTTTGTTCGGCTGATCTTTCTATTCATTCATTCGTCTGTCTGATGGATGGATGGATGAATGAATGAATGAATGAATAGATGAAATTCCCGTTCGCATGTCCAGGTGTTTCACTGGGCATGTGCGGGAATCTCACAGGCTATCTAGCGTGGGCTGATGACGTGTCCCACAGGGACTTCATCTACCCACACAAAGATGGCGGCGCCCTGAATAAGATCGGGGCAGAAAATAAGGATTAAAAAATAGGTAATGTGGGGGGCTTAGGGGCATTTGGGGGTGACTAGTGGGTCAATTGGATGTAGTGGAGGCGGGAGGGGGGTTAAAAAAAAAACGAGATTCGGCATGACAGTGCCGCTTTAAGATCTGAATCAAACCATTATTTCACGGAGTCACATCACAGCCAAGGGATGAGACTGTGTAAACAGACACAAAAGTTGTTTAATTCCTAACTGACAAAGAATGGAGCAATGAGACTGGAGGGGCATATGTAAACACTTACATACTTCATCAAGATAAAGTTGTTTTGAAGCTAATGGTGTTCCTTTAAAGGGAATGAGCTAATCCCAAGACTTAAAAAAAAACAAAAAAAAACACATTTTAATATAATTATACACTTGTTGCCAAAAGTGAGGAAACTTTTTGAAAATGTTTATTTCTGAGGTTTTATGGCTCAGAACTAGGGATGGACTGGGAAAAAAATGGACCAAGCCTTTTTTCATAACAAGTGGGCAAGGGCAGGGGGGGGAGGTGTTGTGTTATCACCAATGACAAGCACACTACTCCTCAAAGTGAGCATGTTCGTTTACTGCTCTTCCAGGGCAATGGATTTGCAGAGCCGTGCTAAAGATCTGTATTTGCTTTGCACAGCGCAAACTACCTTGCACTGCATTTGCTTGTGACTTATCTCTGCTGTCTCCATAAGTGAGACACCAGAGGAAAAAAAAAAGTATTGTGCATGTGTTTGTAAGCTGCTTGTGGGTAGTTTGTGGTGTGGTGTTTTGTCTAAATAGGTCGGTTTTAGTTTTGCGAATAGTGTGTGCACTGGGGCTGTAGGGTATGTATGGGCTGTACAGAGTGTGACTAGGGAATGTAGTGTGTATGTGTAGGTGGTGCAGTGTGTCTATAGGGGGAACTAGTTTGTGTGTGTGTGTGTGTGTGTGTGTGTGTGTATATAATGGATATGTTGTCTATAGGGGAGTGTGTGTAAAACCTATACAGAGTGTGGGGGCAGGGAGTGATTGAGACTGGCAGCAAATAACTGTTTTTTTCCCTTGGAATTCTGGAATTTAAAGGATCCCTATGGGGTCAGGAACACAAACATGTATTCCTGACCCTTAGGTGTTACCACCAGGATTTAAGTTTTAACTTTGGTAGTTACAGGTCACAAATTACAAGGAGATAAATACATTTCAATGTGGAGCGATTTTAGAATTTGGTATGTGTGTCTTCTAAGCTAATCGGCCATTACAGAAAATAAAATTGCCACAGAAAAGTATATCTCAGTATTTATATAAAGTAGATAGATCAGGCTATTTATCCAAGGGTATTTTGACACTTTTTACATAGCCAATTAACTGCCAATCTCTGATAAATAAAGATACACAAGGATATTTTAAAGTGTATTTCATAAACCTGCTGTTTTTCTCCTGTAAAAATCCCAAGTTTGTGTTCAGCTATATCTTCTAAGTAAAGAAATAACCCCAAACTTTATGCCGTAGACCAGTCCTGCACGGAAGGGAGTGCTGCAGGACACGTCCTCTCAGAGACCGAAGCCGTGTAGGAGGTGGGGAGGCTGTGAGGAAGGGGCCAGTCCAGGAGAGACTGGAGCTGCATGGGAGGAACAAAGAGGAGGAGGTGCAGGTTGAAAGAGCCAGCCCCTAACTCCCAGCATACTTAGACTGCAGACTGGATTCAATGTATGTATCTTTAGGTCTGTCTGTATGCCTGCATGTGTGTAGCTGTATGTCTGTCAGTGTGCGTGTGATAGGCGCTAAATACCTATCTGCGGCACAAAGAAGCTTAGTCTATTAAATTTTGGATAATTTTTTAATTAATAAAAAAGAGGTCCCCTGAGAGGGACGAGACGCACTGTGATATCCCTTAAAAAGGTTTCATGAGAGGGACAATGTTTGTTGGACTTTTATATACTTTTAGTGATTTCATGTTGCTGCTATTCTTCTATCAGAGATCCACTTATTGTGGAGACATGCCCAGCATTTTTATGTGTTTGTAAGTGCATTTAAATTATTACATTTGTACAAACGGTATAGCACGATTATCTTTTCATTACTAGAATTTTCACACTATCAGAGTACCATTGGAACCAGACTCCAAAAATTGAGTGATACCTTTCAGGGGAGACGTGCCTACTATTCATTTACATATATTAATATAGATTATTTTGGGGAGGGAGAGGGGGAAAAAGGGGGAAAGAGGAGGGAGAAGGGGGTGGGAGAGGGAAGAGGAGAGTGAGAGGGAGAGAGACGGAGACAAATTGTATTTTTTTTTTTTTATTTTTTTTTTTAAAAACCACTTTTTTTCTATTATATATTTATAGGGTGTTGGTGAGACACCTTATGTTAGGTCTTGTTTTATACGGAGTGATTTTTTTTTTGTATTATTTAACTCATACTAAACACCTTATTAGTTCCATACTGTGCCATAACACCCGATTGGCTCTCAGATCATTTCCATAGATCAGTTTTGGAAATCCACTTTGTGTATCGACGCCACAGTCCTGATTTCAGCTAATGGCAATGCACAGTGGACCAACTGCTCCACAGCAGCAGGAAAGGCTCTAGTGTTTATAGTGCTGTTAGTGTTCCTTTAAGTTTTCTACAAAATACATTCATTTGATCCAAGAAAATAAGGATTGAAAAAAAAATAAAATAAAATAGACATACAGACACACACACACACACACACACAGTTGGACCTTGGTTTACAAATTGCATTCCGGGGGCGTGGGTGGTGTGTGTTCTGCATGGTGGGTTAGTTTCCATGCCGGGGGGGGAGGGGTCTGTGTCCAAATCATGCAAATGAAATGCACTGTTCCAAATTATTACGCACAGTAAGTTTCAAAACACTTTATAGGTTGTAAAGAACTGAAAATTGTGTTGTTTTTGCAGCATATTTACTGAAATCAAAAGCTATTTCAATCAAACTAATAACATTTTAACAGGTCACGTTACATTTTAACATAGGATCCCTTATTTGATAGCAATGTCACAAGTTTTGCATCCATTGAACTTGTGAGTTTTTGGACAGTTTCTGCTTGAATGTCAGAATAACCTCCCAGAGCTGCTGTTTGGATGTAAACTGCCTCTCACCAGGTAATAGGATTGAGGTCAGGGGAGGATGTAGGCCACACCATGACTTTCTCTCCTTTTATCTCCATAGCAGCCATTGATGCAGAGGTATTCTTTGCAGCATGAGATGGTGCATTGTCATGCATGAAGATGATTTTATTACGGAATGCATAGTTCTTCCTTCTGTACCAGGGAAGAAAGTGGTCAGTCAGAAACTCCACATACTTTGCAGAGGTCATTTATACACCTTCGGGGACCCTAAAGGGGCCGACCAGCTCTCTTCCCATGATTCCGGCCCAAAACATGACTCCACCACCGCCTTGCTGACGTCGCAGTCTTGTTGGAACAGGGTGGCCGTCCACCAACCATCCGCTACTCACTCCATCCATCTGGATCATCCAGGGTTGCACGGCACTCATCAGTGAACGGGACTGTTTGAAAATTAGTCTTCATGTATTTTTCTGCCCAATGCAGCCGTTTCTGCTTGTGAGCATTGGTTAGTGGTGGTCGAATAGAAGGTTTATGCACAGTTGCAAGACTCTGGAGGACTCTACACCTTGATGTCTGTGGGACTCCAGAGACATCAGCAGCTTCAAATATCTGTTTGCTGCTATGTAATGGTATTTTAGCAGCTGCTCTCTTGATCCAATGCATGGATCTGGCAGAAATCTTCCTCAATGTGCCTTTATCTGCACGAACCAGTCTGTGCTTTGAATCAGCCACAAATCTCTTAATAGTGCAATGATCATGCTTAGGTTTTCGTGAAATATCTTATGTTTTTATACCTCGTCAAACGCATTGAACTATTTCACTCTTTTCGGCAGCAGAGAGATCCTTTTTCTTCCCCATATTGCATGAAAATGGTGCTCTGCTTAATAATGTGGAACACCCTCCTTTAGTAGTTTTTCCTTAAATTGGGCTCACCTGGCAATCTAATTATCACAGGTGTCCAAGATTGTTTTCAGTGATCAAAAGAGCCCTGAGACACAATGCCACCCAAGAGTTAAACTAAAAAACAAAATATTTAACCCCTTAAGGACCGGACTGTTTTTGCGATGTTGTACATTTGCGACCAGGCCTCTTTTTACACTTTTGTGGTGTTTGTGTTTAGCTGTATTTTTCCGCTCTCTCATTTACTGTTCCCATATAATATATATTTTTTTTTTTTAGGACAAAAGGGGCTTTTTTTACATACCATTATTTATATAATCTCATGTAATATTTAAAAAAAAAAATTATGCCATATAATCTATAAAATTGAAAAAAAAACATGTTTTTTTACTTTTACTTGAAAAATCTTTTACTCAGCTACAAAGCTAATGAAAAAAACTGCTAAATAGATTCAAAATTTTGTCCTGAGTTTAAAAATACCCAGTGTTTGCATGCTTTTTTTGCAAGTTATAGGGCTATAAGTACACGTAGGATATTGCGGTTTCAAAACATACATTTTTAAAATTTATCAATAGTGACATTGTAACACTATTATCTGTCATAAATCTCTGAATAACACCCCACATGTACATATTTTTTTTTATTTTTTTTAAGTAGACAACCCATTGTATTCAATATGGGATATGTCCAGTCTTTTTTAGTAGCCACTTAGTCAGAAATACTGGCCAAAGTTAGAATTCATATTTGTTTGTGTGTGAAAAAACTAAAAAACTAAACGCTAATTATGGCCAGTGTTTGTGACTAAGTGGCTACTAAAAAAGACTGGACAAAATCCATTTGCAATACCTTGGGTTGTCTTCTTTTGCAAATGGTATGCCATCATGGGGGTAATTCTCATTTCTGGGCTACCATACGCTCTCAAAGGCAACGTAAACAGCCTGGCAATTTTCAATGTAAAAATATTTGACCCAGGCAGTCAAAAAATTACAAAAAGGATAGGTAATCTAGGAGACATACACATGATGCACATATTTTTTTGTGGTATCGTTAAATGTATTAGTCCTTGGTTTGTTTTAGGTGATGCAATGAAAGCTAGCATTCCTAATCATATATAGATTATATGGCAAAAGTTTACAGCCAGTAGAAGAAGTGTTACAGCAGTTACAAAAATAGAGGTACAGAACAGGATTTCATTTTAGATATCAATAAATCAGCATGTTACTTTAGAAGCAAAAAACGCTTTTCCCCATTAGATCATCTAAAACAGTTTGTTAATATAAATTATCTATTTAAACCATAGATTTTGCTAAATAAGAAAACAAAAACCACACACACATCATATGTATACCTATCATAATAATATAAGGCTAGAATAACAGAAAACCACTAATTAGCAGAATCACTTACCATCTGCAATAGATCATACAACTTTTCACTCAAGACTCCAAAAAGCCTTTCATTTGCAAAAGCCTGGGAAAAGGAAAATACTCTATAGAATTATCCATATACAATGGAAATATATATTTTAGCTGGAATAGATTCAAAAAAGTAAAATGTTAAAATGCATATTTCTAGGAAATAGTTGACTATGTAAAGATTAAAAATGTCTGCTTTATGGAAAGAACCAATACATTTATAATAAACATATATTGCCTAAGCAGAATAATCTAATCTAATGCATTTACCAGGGCTTGTTTGAATCCAACTCTCTACTCAACCCACTTCAGTCTGGATTTTGCTCTCACCATCATGTTAAAACAGCCCTGACCAAAGTATCCATTTATTTAATTTCTGCTAAATACAGTGGTTGCTACTCTCTTCTAACCCTCCTTGGCCATTCTGCTGCTTTCTACACTATTGATCATCAACAACAACTTCTCATCCTCAATCTCTGTTTACAAGACTCTGCTCTTTCCTGGTTCTCCTCCTACCTCTACCAGCACTCTTTCAGTGTTTCTTTTTCTGGCTCTTCCTCTTCTTTGCAATCACTCTGTTTCCCAAGGTTCTGTCCTTGGTCCCCTACTGTTCTCTATACTGCCTCACTTGATAAACTCATAAGCGCTTTTGGCTTTTAGTAACATTTCTATGCGGAGGACAAGCAAATCTACCTGTCCTCTTGATTTCTCGCAATCCCTGTTGATTCAAGTTTCTGACTGTTCCTCTGCTATTTCTAACTGGATGGCTGCTCATTTCCTTAAACTTAACCTGCCCAAAACAGAACTTCTCTTCTGTACTCCCTCAAGTAATGCTACTCCTGTGTCTGTCTCCTCAAAGTCAATGGCACTACCACCAGCTCTACCTCACAGCCTAAGTGTTCTCTTTGACTACAACCTCTCCTTCACCCCTCATGTCCAGTTACTTGCCAAATCCTGCCGCTTCCATCTCAAAAGCATAGCTCGCACGTGCCCCTATCTAACACCAAATACAGCTAATGTGCTGGTCCATGCCACTATCCTCGCTCACCTTGACAGCTGCAATCTGCTTGTCCGTGATCTTATTTGTTCCTATACAGTCCCGTTACAGCCTATGATTAATGCGGCGACGAGGCTCATCTTACTGTCTGGCCACACCTCCCATGCCTCGCCCCTCTCGGTATGTACACAGGCTTCCCGTAAGATTTAGGGACTCAATTTAAAATTCTGGCGTCACACCTCCAATTTCCCCAGCATTATCTGGCTTCTGCAATTGACTTACATTTTTTATGAACGGGGTGCTACTGATTAGCTTAGCCTTAGAGCATCAGCTGACTGCTGTAGTCTACACCAATGGCGTTCCTGCCTGGCAGCACACCGCACTTTCTAAAAGTAAATTGCAGAAGCCAGATGCCACTGCAATTGGAAATCCGGCACTGGAGGCAACCTTTAGGGTTAAACCATTCAAGAACAGTTTACCCCTTCAGTACAAGAGTGTCTGGGGGCCTTGTGGCACCAAAATAACTTCATTTTAATTAAGTTGTTATGGTGCCAAGTGTTCCTTAATATTTTATACTAGTCATACATAGAAGAAATTTGTTTCACTGTCCTTCTACGTAACTGTACTAAATTTGTAAAATAAAATCTCAAAATACCATAAACTACAATAGCTCACTGGAGTGACCTGGTGCCTGGAGCAGGCCAGGGTACTCCTGGAATCATAACATCTACATCATTCTATAATGTTTATGGTGGTTGGAATGTTTCTTCAAGAGTCAGGTAATAATTAGCATACCGCTTAATAATACAGAAAATTACATTTGGAGGATTATATATAGTGTTAGAAGCTCACCTCCTTGTAAGCCTGTAAATAAGAATCAATCTGGAGAAAGTGGTGCCGAAATGTAGCATCCGCAGGCAATTTTCCAAAGCAGAGCAATGCTGGCTGGGTTAGGTTCACCATCAACCTAAAGTTTAAATTTAAATGACAGCTATAAACAAACCACATTTGCATGTCTGTTTAATTATACAGTGAGGGGAAAAAAAAGGTATTTGATCCCCTGCTGATTTTGAACATTTGTCCACTGACAAAGAAATGATCAGTCTATAATTTTAATGGTAGGTGTATTTTAACAGTGAGAGACAGAATAACAAGAATTAATAAAATCCAGAAAAACGCATGTCAAAAAAGTTATAAATTGGTTAGGGGACAGGGCCTGACCGCCATACTGATAGGTCCCAGTTTAGTTTCGAGAGCTGGGGCTAGCAGAGTTGTCCGAGCGGGCTGACGATGCCTTCAATATGCAGGGAGGCGCAAATGGCGGGCGTGGGAATCGGGTGATCTGTGTCATGGAATAGGGGAGTAGAGTGAAGTCTCACTTAAGTCAAACTTTTGTTAGATGCATGCCTCCTAAAGTTTGTCTCAGTTAAAGTGGGAAAGTAGACCACCCAGCAGTGACACCCTTATCATTAACTCACTGTTGTCTACCTTTAATTTTGTTTTCATTGTTTTAATGCAACCATATATTTACAACACTATGCTTATTATATGCAGTTGACTCGGTATCTCTCTTGTGATGTGAAGGTGCAACCCAGTGGTTAATTCTGCCTGTAATCTGCAAAGTCAGTCTTCTCACTATTGTTTTGTTGATAATTGGTAAATCATAGCTTGGTAGACGTGGACTACATGCCAGCTTCTTCAGTTATCTAGCTTTTTGAACCTATTCTTCATTCTATTATAAAAATTGTGCATTATATTTACATATCATGCCTTGATATCGGCCGTTCTATTATTTTCAATGCAGTCGGGGCATGGCAAATACATCTGTAACAGTTATTCTTTAATGCACGACAAAATAAAGATTTTTTTTTTTGTATTTTTATCCCTATATTTAGTTAAGGAAACTATAAACTAATAACGCAACGGATTAATAAAGTAGTACATCACAATTGTAAGTTCATTATAAGCTAATAATATGATCAGCACAACTAAGAGTTGAATGGTATGTATTTACTAAACTAATGTATTATTAAGGCAACATGGGAATATTTTAGTATGAATGCTTATAATGATAATGAATAATATAAAGGCTGTTACTGCAAGTGGCTTCAAGGAAAGGGATTTTATTGATGGATAATGTGTAAAATGTGATGTACTGCCTGTTTTCATTTTTTTGGGCATTAATAAAAAAAAAAATTAAAATGGAAAAAAATAAATAAACATGGAGGTGGAACATGGGGTGTTTTTCCTGCTAAGGGGACAGGACAACTGCACAGCATCAAAAGGGGCCATGTACCATCAAATCTTGGGTGAGAACCTCCTTCCCTCAGCCAGGGCATTGAAAATGGGTCATGGATGGGTAATTCCAAAACACAAAGCCAAGACAAAGGAGTGGCTCAAGAAGTAGCACATTAGGTTCCTGGAGTGGCCCAGCCAGTCTCCAGACCGTAATCCCATAGAAAATGTGTGGAGGGAGCTGAAGGTTCGAGTTACCAAACGTCAGCCTCGAAACCTTAATGATTGAGAGGATTGGGACAAAATCCCTCCTGAGAAGCGTGCAAACCTGGTGGCAAACTACAAGACACGTCTGACCTACAAGGGTTTTGCCACCAAGTACGAAGTCGAAGGGATCAAATGCCTATCTCACTCATTGACATGCAAATCAATGTATAACTTTTTTGACATGCTTTTATGGATTTTTTTGTTATTCTATCTCTCACTGTTAAAATACACCTACCATAAAAGTTACAGACTAATCATGTCTTTGTCAGTGGGCAAACATTCAAAATCAAATACTTTTTTTCCCTTACTGTAAATGTAACTGATGCTAAAATGCATATCTATCCTTATCTAAAGGGTCACTATAGTTTAAGAAATACAAACCTGCGTGTAACAAAAACTACACTTCACATGAAATTGTATCCAAACAATTGACAGGCGTATGTGTACTACATTAAAAAGGAACACTGTAACATTAGAAATACAAAACAGAAAGAACTTCTTTAAATAAATTTTATTACACTGTAGTTTTCTTTTAAGTATATTTTGTTGGTGTATTTCATATATGAGCCGTGTATTGTAATATTATATTCACTTTGTAATAACATTTTATTTTTACACAACTGTAGGTTTAAGTGCTTAATATACATTATTAAAGAACTTCACCGGGAGGGAGAATTTCACTTAAATATAATCTATATCAGTTAAACCCTCTTCCTGCCCCTGCATACAGAGCAGTGACATCACCTTTTGGGATCTTTTTAAAGAATACAAAAACTCCCATAGGTGCCAGAGCTACATTAATGGGTTACTTTATAAAAAATAAATTACAAAAGGAGCCAGGGGGAGAAATGGGACCCATGCCAGCAAACGTTACTTAAGCTAAAACCAGTGTTTTATTAAAACATTACTTTCAGTTGAAGCAACCATTTAAAGCTCCAAACAAATGATCCTATCGTGGCTTTTTAGCCCCTGCTTCGATCTTGACAAAAAGCTTGAGCCTGGCTAAAGATTACAAAAGTCAGACTATGTAGAGATCTTTAATGTGGAGAACAAACATAGGTATTCTCAGACTACATAGATATAGAGGAAAAATAAATATTGATAAATAAAGGAAGACAGATATAACCAAGCTGATGGCTTATAGGATAACGAGCAATCTATTTTACCGTATGACTGCATCAAACAGCTGCTTGTCATTGTGGTGTTGGATGACCAAATGTATTAAATCATTCTGCAAAATTTGAGCAGCTCCAAGTTGCTGTCGAATATCACGGGTATCATCCTCGTGACGAAGGTAACGGATTAAATCCTTCACACTCTCTACAGAGGGAAAATAGGAACTTTGATGTAAACAATTGCAGAAATGTCATGCAGTCCTGTTCTACATATAACAAATACATTTAAGATCTCAATATGCCTAGTTGCTGAATATGCTAGCATTTAATAACTGAAAATGTATAAAAAAAGATTTATACAAAAATGCATACAGGTCGTCAGCCTCTAAGCCCAACAATAGTTGTCCAGAAACATTACTTCTCACTGCTGAATCCAGGAGGAGGGTTAAACCACCAGAAAATTATTTAAACCCTGAAGGTGTAAATGGCACCAAGACATTTGTGTCCCCATAACTTCAATGAGTTGAAATTAAGAAGCTTGGAGTATTTCTCTAACATAGATCAAGGGTAATGAACCTTTTAATACATACCGCCCATTTATGTATCTTTTTTGATGGTAAAATTTCCTTACCAACCACTAGTGCCGCATTAACTATTTTCTAGAACAAGTGCAATTAAAAAAAAGTTACTTAACCCCTTCAGGATCAATCTTTTGGAATAAAATGGAATCATGGCATGTCAGACATGTCATGTGTCCTTAAGGGGTTAAAGCAACACTATAGGATCAGGAACACAAATGTGTTCCTGACCCTATAGTGTTAAAAACCACCATCTAGCCCCGCTGCCTCCCTAAATCTAGTAAAATCTTACTTGTGTTCAAATCTGCAGCTGCTGCCTCTGCCCCTGCCCTGCCTGCTTATAGCTGATATCATCAGAAGTGATTCTGTAAGCCAATCGCAATGCTTTCCCATAGGATTGGCTAAGACTGAGGCAGATCAGGGGCAGAGCCAGCACAAACACAGCTCTGGCCAATCAGCATCTCCTCATAGAGATGGATTGAATCAATGCATCTCTATGAGGAAAGTTCAGTGTCTGCATGCAGAGGGTGGAGACACTGAATGGCAGCACCGTCCCAGGAAGCACATCTAGTAGTCATCCGATGAGTGCCCAGTGGAGTTATCACTAGGCTCTAATGTGAACACTGCATTTTCTCTGAAAAGACGGTTTACTGCAAAAAGGGAATTATTCTACTCACCAGAACAAATACAATAAGCTGTAATTCTTCTGGTGACTAGTCTTCCTTTTATTGGAACTTTTTATTTCTACTTTATGCATGTTTATACATATATCATTTAAATTTAATACATTTAAAATTTTATTTTCTATATTCCCTTTATAAACTCCAACAACAAAGCTGTATAAGGTGGCCATTTTTATTATGTGTTACCACAAAAAGAAGATCCCTTTTCTATTCTCCTTTTCCTTTCTTCTGTTTTCTCCTTCCTTATTGCACTCACCATCATGAAGGCTAAACTAGGTAGCCCACTTTATTATTAGCCAACAACAAAAAATAAAACAGAAAAGAGGAATATATATCAGCAGTCTCTTTTTCCTCTCTTTATTCTCTCCTTCCTTTACTACTTTTTATTTTCCTTCTTTCTTTTACTTTATGTTCAGTAAACCAAGTAAACAGAAAATAACCAAACTCAGCTTGCCAACGTTCAATGTCAGCCACTCTAAACGCCACGCTTCTTCCTGTCCCTGCTTTCCCATTGAGTGCATCAGCTGCCCCCCCCTCTTCCGACGTGTTACATCAACACGCCACGCCCCCATCCATTTTGATCAGAGAAGTGATCAGTAAGACGGCATGGGTGTGATCAATACACCAAAACTGCATCCTTAAGGCAATGTTGTTTTGGTGACTATAGTGTTCATTTAATGATTTACTACAAACCAGGACTCATCCTAGCGTTTACAGCATTGATAATTTGGAATTTACACTATGAAAGACAATTTTGTTCAATAGATGGTATTCATTGGCTGAGAGTGTTAGAGGTTGGTTGGCAAAGCATACAATGAACCTTGTTTGTGTTAAACCAAATTGATATTTATAATATGGAAGTGTAAAATTGTGCATTATCAATGCAGCTAAGGTAACTTCTGCCTGAAAGAATCCCAATTAAAATGGAGGCTTGGAGGCTGGTGCAACAACATAAGCGGTGGTGATTTTGTTACCTGTACAAAATCCAGTCAAGGAAATATCCTCCCCCCGCTCCCCAAGACAATACTTACCCAGACAATCTGGTTCTTTATGATAAGTGTCTCCTTCCAGGTACCCCAAGGCACTACATGTTGCTAATAGTTCACAATTCATCATGTACAAGTCCATAAACCTCTTGCCACGATTAAATAAGACACAAGATCCCTCACCTGAGAGGAGTAGAAAGATTAGGGCATGGTTATTTTTCATTACATAAACGTATGCACTGTTCTGTAGATGCGACAAGGGTCTCAGCTGAGCCTCTAGAAGTGGTCTTAGAAGCCACATGGCCTCACTGCTCAATCCTCTGCCATTTAGGAGTTAAATCCCTTTGTTTATGAACCCTTTCCACATCCAGATAAACACCGTCCATTCCAATGGTCCACAAGAGGTGGAGACGGCGGGCTGCTCAGGGGTTACCCTCGCCCTGATGTAAGGGCTGGGGGGACCCATGGGCTGCCAGCCCGTTGTCTCAACTGAGATCCAGTTGACCATTACACACACTACGGTCACCCCCTAGGAGCCCCCCACAAACCTAGAGCAGAGGGGACGGGGGATGGGCACTTGTCCCAACGCAACCCACACAGGATAAGACGACAACGGAAAACACTGACAATATCGCACTCAATGGTACCTCACTATTTCTCATATTCTTGTTTATATGGCTATATCGTTTTATTGTGTAACTTATCTGATTATGTGAAAACTATGACAGATTAAGCACGTTAGAAAGTGGTGTGTATAACAAGTAACCTCTCAGGTCTGCAATTAGCATTCTATGGGGCAATACATATCAAAGTTTTTCTTATGTGTTTTTTATTTTTTACCTGAAATGAAAGGTTGGCGTTTATCCTATATACCTTTAGGTGCCACTCCATTCTGACTACGTGTATAAAACAAATTAAGCATAGGTTATGTTCTCTGAAAATGCAGTGTTTACATTGAAAAGCCTGCTGGGACAGACTAGACACACCAGAACCACTACATTAAGCTGTAGTGGTTTTGGTGACTCTAGTATCCCTTTAAGAATTGTATTTGTGAGGGGGTTGAGCCTGACAGGCAAGTAGAACAGAAGTGTGCTGGGCTAGCTCCTGAGCTTGGCATGCTAAAAAACGCCATTTAACCCAGTCAATAAGCAGTTTTCACCGCAAAATACATCTTCCTGAACAGTGGGGACTTTGATGAACCGATCTGAACCAGATTCGGAACTCTCCAGGTCCAGACTAGTTGCGGCCTACAAGCTCACCAGACGTCGGAGAGGCAGCCACTCTCCAGACACTGTAACCAGTTACACTGAGAGACTTCTACACTCTCCCCCCCCCCCCTCTGGACCGGTGGGGGTAATCCCGGTCCCAGGAGCTCTTCCACAGCTACTCACTGCACTTAGTGTTGCCACGTGGCTTCTAAGACCGCTTCCAGAGGCTCAGCTGAGACCCTTGTCGCATCTATGCTGGCTAAACAGGACCTAATATTTGCAAGGTTCTGGGAAAGGATAGAGGCAAGGAAGCAACATGAAAAGATGGTTAATTCGCCTAACTCAGCATCACAAACTACTAGGCTGCACCAGACCACGCCTTCCATGAGGTCTCCCTGCACCCTGTCAAATCAGAGAACACCTACTCCTACTGAGAAATTTAGTATAGCATGCATAAAACCTAACCACTGGTCATTTACATTTCTAGAGCATATCCTAACATTGTGAGGCCTAGTGAGCACAAATAATCAAGGCATAACAGTTTAACCTTCTACCAGCAATTAGACATAGTAGCCTCACTTGAGAACGTACGCCAACGTATCCTTGTTTTCACCTTCTACCTTTAATTTTATTAAAAAAGTGCACTACTCATGATATGTGAAGCAACTTACCCGTGATTTCACCTGCATTATACCATCTTGCTGATATGTCAGTTTATGCATATTTGTTTACCTCTGCACTACCAAAAATAAAGAATTAAAAAAATAAAAAATTTTTAAAAAGGATTTGTATTTGTGGTGTTAAAAATTATGTTTTGTTAGAATAAATAAAATTTAAAAAAGCTCCAAGATTCCAAGCAAATTTGCCAAGCCCCATGGTACTGTATAAAGTTACATTCCATATGATGCGACAACACAACAGGTAAAGACAGGAAACAAAATCACATGTGAACAAATTCTGTCAAAATAAAAAAAAAGCTTTTTATGTTAAGATGATAGTTTTAACTCCTTCATGACAGATGACTTGCCAAAACCATAAGACAAGATGGGAAGGCAATAACACGTCACAAACGGTAAATATAATGCATTTGAAATTGAAAGCAAAAAAATGGTATTAGAAGACGTTACAAATACTTTCAATAAAATGTGTTTTCTGATCTAAACTGCAATTTACAATGTAAATGAAACTGTTTTTCATCAGATTTGTTATATGAGACACCACAACAGCTCTTTCAGAAACTAATTATTTGACTTTATAATGAATTAAATTTTATGGTAATCATTAATCTGCAGAATGCCTAGATTAATAAAAGCTCATATTTATCAGCTTTTCTATCATTTAAAGATCTTTCAAGAAATATGCTTCAGTATTTCATAAAAGAAATGCACAAACCCCGAAAGGCTAGTCAACTTCATTCAGACACTTAATAAAAGCCATTGGTGCCTAAATTATGATTTTTGTTTGATCAGATCTGTCTGCCTTACCTGCCCATGAGCAAGTTGGAGAATATAGGAGCTTGTGTTGAGTTTTCAGGGCACTGATTGTAAAATCTGCGAGATACTCTAAATCTTTACACTGAAGGAAGGTGCAGCTCTATGCTGGGTCAGGAGGAGGGAACAAAGCAGGAGAGTGCATCACTTATGTTATGCAAGCAGTCTATTTACCCAGAGTCCCTCACTGACCTAACCTAGATTGTTAACCATTCTAACCTAGCAGCACATAACACCAATAAAGGCACGCAGGAAAAAAAAAAAACGCATCTCTGTGAGCTGGAAAGCGAAAAAAAGCTGCAGAGAAAAATAAATGATATTTCCAGTTTAGTGTGATCTTTGCAGTTTTGTTGACATTTTTATATCGCCATATGTGTTTTGTTTTTCAAGTCCAAACCAGCCATGAATCAATTTATAAGAGCTCCTAACTGGAGTCCAAGCAAATGAACTCAACTTGACTGCAAATATCTGTGGAATGAATGGTTTGAGATTGTCGGAGCCTGGGGTCCCTTATTAAACGGATACTGTAGAGGTTGTGATTCCAGCAGTGCCTTGGCACCCCCTCATTGTAATAAGTCACAGTTTTTTTAATGATTTGACTTCTTACCAGGTGCAGGTCTTCAAATCAATTACTAAAGCCATAGAGGCGGACATTCCCAAGCAGCATGGATTAGCTGATGCTCTCAGTCAGTTAGCTAAGCACCAACAGAAATTCTTGCTTAGGAATTTCCAGTTCTGAGACATTCAAAGAAAAAGGTTTGATAACTTATAAGAGAAGTGTACCCCAGGCTACTCCTGGCTCCATAACCACTACAACAAACTGATCAAGATTGAGAATGTCAGCCAAGGAGGCAAATCCAGCCACGGAGAGAGCACCACTGCCTGGGAGAAAAGGCAAATCTTCTTTCCAATTCCATATGGGTGGGTCTAAAGAATGACTAGGGCACTATGGTGTTAGGAATACTGTGCTCCTAATCAGTGGCGTAACTACAGGGGACAGATTATGCCGCTGTCCTAGGCACAAATATGGCAGAAGGGGAGAGGTGGAAGGGGCGGTGCCTTCACAAGCAAGCCGATGGCGACCAGTACCGGGAGGTGGGTGATTGGGGGGGAAGGTGACGGGGGGGGGGGGGGGGGAGGAGGGCGGACAATACGATGGCGGCAGCACTGGACTCCCAGAGCCTCACACTGCTCACTCATGCCCTCTGTGATAATGATGGGAGCTGGAATAGGACGTCACTCTGGCCCCAGTATCACAGAGCGAGTTGGAGCAGTGTGAGGACCTGGGAGATTGCAGGAGCCCACCTGGACCACAGGGAAAGGACCCACACCAGCTCGCCTAAAGGTAAGGAGGCTGGATGGACCAAAAAAAAAACAAAAACGCGATAAATATTAATTTGTGATTGTGTGACCATGAATGTACAAGAGTGTTTCAAAATCAGTGAGATTGTGTGTTATTGAGAGCAGGTCAGTGTGCATGTCTGTCAATGAGAGTTTCAAACCTGTGAGAGTGTGCATCTGTGTGTGTGTGTACAAGTCAGTGTGTATATGTGGGGCGGTGTATGTGCACCCAGCAAACACCAACTGTACAGACAGATACTAAATACAAGTACACCACTGCTTTCAAATAGCAACAGTACACACACAAATACATACATACGTATATTTGTCAAATAGACAAAACATGCTTAAAATTTGTTGGTTATTTTTTTCCTATTGCGTTAAGAAGTGTTTATCAAAAAATTGTAATTGGCATTGTTAACATATACTATAGTCTTTGCATTTGTTGACTTACTCTTCCAACCAGAGGTACTCTGGTAGTACATTGGAGGAGAGGGGGCGGAAATCAGTCTTAAGGGCCTCGGCCAATCCAATGTTTTCTCATAGGAGAGGGGGCCGACAGCTACGGGACAGGAGAGGGGGGCGACAGCACACTACGGGACAGGAGGGGGAGGGAGAACACTACGGGACAGGAGGGGGGGAGAAACACCACGGACAGGAGGGGGAGAACACTACGGACAGGAGGGGGGGAGAACACTACGGACAGGAGGGGGGGGGAGGGGAACACCACGGACAGGAGGGGGGGGAGGGGAACACTACGACAGGAGGGGGGAGGGGAACACTACGGGATGAGGGGGGGAGGGGAGAAACACTACTGGGACAGGGGAGGGAGAACACTACGGACAGGAGGGGGGGAGAACACTCACGGACAGGAGGGGGAGAACACTGGCCGACAGGAGGGGGGGAGAACACCCATGGACAGGAGGGGAATACTACGGGACAGGAGGGGGGGGAGAACACTACGGACAGGAGGGGGGGGAGAACACTACGGACAGGAGGGGGGAGAACACTACTGGCAGAGGGAGAACACTACGGGACAGGAGGGGGGGAGAACACACGACAGAAGGGGAGAGAAACACTCACGACAGAAGGGGGGGGGCTTGAGAGAACACTACGGACAGAAGTGTATAACACGGACAGAAGGGGAGAAACATGGACAGAAGGGGAGAGAACACTACGGACAGAAGGGGGGGAGAGAACACAAGGGACAGAAGGGGAGAGAACACACGGGACAGAAGGGGGAGAACACTCACGGGACAGAAGGGGAGAGAACACCACGGGACAGAAGGGGAGAGAACACTACGGACAGAAGGGGGGAGAGAACACCACGACAGAAGGGGAGAGAACACTACTGGACAGAAGGGGAGGAGAACACTACGGGACAGAAGGGGAGAGAACACTAATGGGACAGGAAGGGGGAGAGAACACTACGGGACAGAAGGGGAGAGAACACTACGGGACACACAGGTGAAGGCTGGGAGAGAACACTACGGACAGAAGGGGGAGAGAACACTACGGAAGGGGAGAGAACACTAATGGGACAGAAGGGGGAAGAACACTACGGGACAGAAGGGGGGAAGCAACACCATGTGACAGAAGGGGGAGAACACTATGTGACAGAAGGGGGGGAGAACACTATGTGACAGGAGGGGGGGGGGAAGAACACTATGTGACAGGAGGGGGGGAGGGGGAGGTAGGGGATAACACTATGGGACAGGGGAAGAGAATGGCATGAAGGCTCCCAATGCTCTGTCTAACTGCCAGGCTCCACTTGGAGCAACCCAGAAGTAAATCGCTCCGGGGGGAGCGATCACCTGGTAAACTTCCTGACGGCCCCCCGCCAGTGAGGGGGTATTACAGCGATACAGTGAAGCATCGCTGTAATACAATGAGAGCTGCTGGAAGCGATTAGGATTGCTTCCAGAGCTCTAATTATCCCAGGACAGATCAGGTACGTCCGCAGTCCATAAGGACCGTTTCTTTGTCGGACTTACCGGATACGTCCATGGTCAGGAAGGTGTTAAAGGAACACTATAGTCACCTAAATTACTTTAGCTAAATTAAGCAGTTTTAGTGTATAGATCATTCCCCTGCAATTTCACTGCTCAATTCACTGTCATTTAGGAGTTAAATCACTTTGTTTATGAAGCCCTAGCCACACCTCCCCTGGCTATGTTTGACAGAGCCTGCATGAAAAAAAAAAAAAAAACTGGTTTCACTTTCAAACAGATGTAATTTACCTTAAACAATTGTATCTCAATCTCTAAATTGAACTTTAATCACATACAGAATGCGCCTGCAGGGTCTAGCAAGCTATTTACATAGCAGGGGATAAGAAAACCTTAATTAAACAGAACTTGCAATAAAGAAAGCCTAAATAGGGCTCTCCTAAATAGGAAGTGTTTATGGAAGGCTGTGCAAGTCACATGCAGGGAGGTGTGACTAGGGTTCATAAACAAAGGGATTTAACTCCTAAATGGCAGAGGATTGAGCAGTGAGGCTGCAGGGCATGTTCTATACACCAAAACTGCTTCATTAAGCTAAAGTTGTTCAGGTGACTATAGTGTCCCTTAAAAGAAAAATTCAGAGGTTGGGTACCTCAAAAAAAAAAGGGAGGCATATGTTCCCACAACGAAATCACAATAGTCTGCACAATGATTATGACAGCCTCCTGTTATGACAGCCTCTTTTTAATTTAAGGTATAAAAGCAAAACAAACACAGCTTAACATAAAGGCTAGGCGTGTAGATAGTGTTCATAGAGTAACAAAATAAAGAATAAACATAAGATATTCAGTTTCTGATACAGGGGTAAAACAGAGTGGGTTAGGATAAGGCCAAAGCTTAGGTAGCCAATAATAGTGATAGTAATGTATAGACTAACTGCAGGCTAGGCAGCTTGAAATGTGAACAAGCTGCTGTGTATATGAAAAGCGGTATCTATTGGTGTATGGCATATAGGCTGCATTATGTCATTTAAAGGAACACTAGGGTCAGGAACACAAACATGTATTCCTGACCCTATAGTGTTAAACCCAGCATTTTGGTGGCTTGCCCCCTCCTCAGTCCCCTTAAAAGGAATTAAAACTCACCCTATTCCCAGCGCCGCGCTGGTCTGCCAGTGCTGGCCCCGCCCCCAATCCGCCTCTTTGATGACATCAGATTTGCCCATTTTTAGCCAATCCAATGCATTGGCTAAAACCGGCAAGGAGGTGGGATGGGGGCGGGGCCAAACACCATTTTGGCCAATCAACACTTCTTCATAGAGATACATTGAATCAATGGATCTCTATGAGGAAATTTCAGCGTCCACATGCAGAGCATAGGGACGCTGAACGGCATCTCCAGTGGGCATCTCAGGAGTGATGCTAGGGGGCAATGTAAACACAGAAAAGGCAGTGTTTGGATGAAAATGCCTGAAAGCAAGGATTATACGCACCAGAAAAACTACATTAAGCTGTAGTTTTCTCGTGACTATAGTGTCCCTTTAAGGGTTTTTGTCGGGCTTAATATATGCTGGATGCATGGCGAGACAAGTTTAATTACTAGACATGTTGAAATATACCACAGCAGCAAGACATGCAAAGCCCTGGATACACTTAAGACAAGTGATGTTTAAATGAGTGTGTATTAGTATGTAGCCACCAACCACCGTGTGGAGCAGACACCACTCCGTGATCTCGCGTAGGCAAACAATTATTACGGAATTAAAAAAAAAACTAAATTAATTAATAAAAAAAACTAAAAAACTAAATGTTTTGTTTTTTTTAAAATGCACGCTGAAACTTCAGGCAAGAAAGAGAGAAAAGTTTAGTACAGGAGTCCACCACAGTATGTTTAAGCTTAGGTGATTCTCAGGACAGGGGTCGCCCCAGGGCGCCCGGTGGCAGCTATGAGCTCCCTCCATTTTTAACAGATTCCCAGTTTGTGAGAAGACTGTTGAGCTCTTGGCATGAGGTCTTCTGTAGGTGAGCATTTGTAGTTTGGGCACTTCGATTCTGGACCCGCATACGACTTAGAACTCACACTGACGAGAGCAGCCATCTTGGGGGGTTGTGAAGCTCAAAGTCCTAGCACCCTGAGCCCTGACCGAGCTCCACATTGCCATATACTTTAGCTTAGGCTTTTCGGGTCCTGGGCGAAGGCCAGTTCCGTGCAGCCCTGCAAGGTAGGGGGGAGGGCCCCATTCATCTGCTAGGCTGTGTGTGGGCTTTGAGGGCATAATGGGCCATTGTACACAGGTAGGTTGTTCTGATGCTTCTGGTTTAGTTGCTGTAGGTGGCTGCTTGCACCTCTGCCTCACCGCTCTGGTAGCCAGAAATCTCACAAAGATGAGGACCAGTTTAGCTAGAGATGCTGCAACATAGGTCGCAGTTGAGTCAACAGTTGTGATTGTCGCCATCATGTGACCCACGCGGTGTCTCTGCACCCAGTAGCTTTAGGTTCAAGGTGTAACTGTAGGTGGCCTCCTGGGACTGGCATGAATGGGTGATTGAGGGGGACAGGGTGCAAAGACACCCAGAATAGGCACCCTGCTACAGCACCCAGCCACCGCAAGGATGGTGACAGAGCCAGACCATAACGGAGGGTCAAGCGGCTCTGAGGGACCCACAGAGATGCCCCTAGAACCCTCATACACCCAGCAGAGTCCGTAAAGGGAACTAACCTGACCCCAGCTACAAAACAAGACATGTCAGATTTACTGCATGAAATGAGGCAGCTGCATGCTGCTCGAAAACTCGAAACCAAAATCATGGCATTCACGGCACGCACACAGGCCTCCGAGGAGGACATCTTGGACTTGAGGCAGGAAGTCCAAGGTCTAAAAGAATCCATTCACCAATTGCATGGCCACTCTCACAACCAGGGTGGACCTGGCAGAGGACTGCAACGTGAGTGTAAACCTCAAGATTCAGGGAATACCTGACGTTGGCATCACAGAACTACCCCAGACGACTTACCATCTCCCTCATGCCGAACGTCCAGGCAAATAAACTCACCTGTTGAGGGCTTCTTTTGCATCCCCACCACAAGCCTCGCAGGACGTCATCGTCAGATGCCACTTGACCACAGACAAGATTCAACTAATGACTGCTGTCCGGGGCAAGACCACGTTCAATTTCAAAGCCTCTCAACTCACCTTCTTCCAAGATATAACACGCAACAGATTACTATGGCGCCGATCAATGGGGCCTGTGACCAGCCAGCAACGCAGGCATCTCGAGGTTTACACTCACGTTGCAGTCCTCTGCCAGGTCCACCCTGGTTGTGAGAGTGGCCTGGGAAGACTGCAATTGGTGAATGGATTATTTTAGACCTTGGACCTCCTGCCTCAAGTCCAAGATGTCTGTGTGCGTGCCATGAATGCCATGATTTTGGTTTTGAGCAGACAATCAGTGGCATCTAGGATCGTTGTCACTCTATGCTCTGTGAAAGTGGCGTTTCACAAGCCTGATAGCGGCTGGGGGGGGTAGGGGGAGAACGGAGACAGGCGGTGAAGGCATCTTTGTGGTCAAACCGTTCCAATAACAGTTTAACCCCTTGAGGTAAGAGTGAGCCTGGAGGCTTCCTTGCACCATAACAACTTCATTTAGAGGAAGTTGTTATGGTGCCGTAAGGTGACTAAACTGTGCCTTTAAAAAAAATGGACCACACGATGCTTCTCAATGGTAAAAAGAACAAACTTGCGGATTGCTATTTAAAAAAAAAAGAACTCATGCATCAGGTCACAAACTTACCTTAATCTGTCTCTCCCCCAGAGGGGGGAGTTCGAGGTTACTAAACTCTTTGTGAGATTTAACGTTCAGTGACAGGGGCCATGGCGATAGTTAAACACCCGGTGTGTTTGCTCCCCAGCTCACAGGAACCCGCGGGAAACTGCCAGCAACCGGAATATACCAACACATCGCGCCTGACGGAGGGGGGGGGCGGAAACATAAATGTGAGATGTAAACAAATACCTCGGAATCGTTTTTCTGCGATTTTGTAGTATAATAACGATATTTGCAAGTATTATGTTATTGTTCTGTCAATTATGCCGTCGTTGGAATTGAGTTAGTGAAAACAGAGTAAAAAGTGAAATCATCCCACCCCCGTATGTGCGTGAACCTGCCCGTCGGTTGGCGGGAAATTTGCAGTCAGTCGCTTAGTGTCTGAGTCCTCAGGACCAGCTCCTGGTAAACACAGCTTGTCTGGCAGAGGAGCCGGGAGCCGAGATATAGAGCGGGATATATTTACATCTTGTTACTAACACATTGTGTATTATTTTTTATTTAGGTTATTCTGTTTAACTTGCAATGCTGGATGGGTTCAGTATCCTAATGGCCGAGTTTTGTGGAGAATTTTTATTTGGCTTTCTGGAGATCTTTTTCCTTTTTGTTTTTTGACCTTGCTATATGTTTATGGGTAAGTTCTATTTACTAGCAGGCATAATTAACCCCTTAAGGACGGAGCCAAATGTACACGTTGTGAACGAAACAAAATGTAAACAAAACCTGGCATTTGCGCTACGTCTGTCCTACTGTAATTCACCTCTTTCATAGTAAATGCAACCACCCTTATTATATATCATTTTATTCAGGGGAAACAGGGCTTTCATTTAATATCAAATATTTAGCTATGAAACATAATTTAATATGAAAAAAATGGGAGAAAATAAGTATTTTTTTTTTTTAGATTTTTTTAGTTCTACATGACATTTTTACGGTCAGTGTCATAATACGGTTTGCTTTTACTGCAATAAAATACACATGTTTGTATTCAGTAAAGTCTCACGTGTAAGACAGTACCCCCTATGTACAGGTTTTATGGCGTTTTGGGAAGTTACAGGGTCAAATATAGCACGTTACATTTGAAATTGAAATTCGCCAGATTGGTTATGTTGCCTTTGAGACTGTATAGTAGCCTGGGAATTAAATTTACACCCATAATGGCATACCATTTGCAATAGTAGACAACCCAAGGTATTGCAAATGGGGTATGTCCAGTCTTTTTTAGTAGCCATTTGGTCACAAACACTGGCCAAAGTTAGCGTTAGTATCTGTGTGAAAAATGCAAAAAAACGCCAATTTTGGCCAGTGTTTGTGACTAAGTGGCTACTAAAAAAGACTTGACATACCCTGTTTGCAATACCTTGGGTTGTCTACTATGCCATCATAGGGGTAATTTTCATTCTTGGGCTACCATAGGGTCACGAAGGCAATGTAACCAATCTGGCGAATTTTAATGTGAAAAAAATGAAACACAAGCCTTATATTTGACGCTGTAACTTTTGAAAACACCATAAAACCTGTACATGAGGGGTACTGTTGTACTCGGGAGACTTCGCTGAACACAAATATTTTTTTTTCAAAACAGTAAAAAGTATTGCAGCAATAATATCATCCGTGTAAGTGCTGTTTGTGCGTGAAAAATGCAAAAAACTTCACTTTTACTGGCGATATCATTGTTGTAATACATTTTACTGTTTTTAAACACTAATATTTGTGTTCAGCGAAGTCTCCCGAGTAAAACAGTAACCCCAATTTACAGGTTTTATGGTGTCTTGGAAAGTTATGGTGTTAAATATAGTGCTAGCAAATTAAATTCCCTATACTTTTGGCATGGGTTGTCAGGCAGGTCCTGCTAATTGTAATTAATTAGGATACCTAATTATGTAAAAATATTACATAAATATATGTGTAGAATTAATATATGTATATATATACATATGTGTATATATACATATATATAATTTTTTAAAATATTTTTATTTATATATAGGTGTATATATTTAGTGATATATATGTATATATATTTATGTATATAGATATATATATTATTTCGTTCTACGTGTATTTTGATATAAATATATATATATATTAATATCACAATACAGTTAGAACGAAATAACAAACATCTATATATTTTTTTATTATTTATTTTTAATTATTTTTTTAATTTAATTTTTTTTACGTATTTACATTTTTTTATATTATATATAAATATATATATATATAAAACAATAATTATATATATATATATATATATATTTAATCAGTATTAGTCTACGTGTAATTTGATAGTAATATATATAAATAATTATATATATTAATATTTAAATACACTTCGTGTATGTGTAAATGTGTGTGTGTGTGTGTGTGTGTGTGTGTATATATATACTTAGATCATATATATTATATATGATCTAAGTATATTTTATATGTAACTGTAATTTTTTTTTTTTTAACTAATATTTTATTTTTTTTACAGGAGAGGGGGCAGAGACAGTGTCAGCCAGTGATTTCACATCACTGGCTGACACACAGGATCAGTGATCACAGTGACTGCCTGTCACTGTGATCACCTCCTGCAGATTGGGTAATTGGCCACAGGGGGGAGTGCCTGGGTGGTACAAGCACTCCCCCCTTCCAATCTGCAGGGGGATCTTTGTGCCAGTTACATGTGTCAGCCAATAGGCTGACACATGTAACACTGATCGCAGTGACAGGCTGTCACTGCGATCAGAGCGCTCTGAGATCGCAGTGACAGCCTGTCACTGCGATCTCAGACAGTGCAGATCGCGGTCACTGACCCCAGGGGGACTGCCTGGGGGGCCAGGTAAGTCCCCCGACCGCGATCTGCACAGGGGTGGCCGCCGGCCACGTGTGTCAGCCGATTTGAAATCGGCTGACACACGTTAAAAACTGATCGCAGTGACAGCCTGTCACTGCGATCAGTGACTGCAGATCGCGGTCACCGGCCACAGGGGGGGTTGCCTGGGGGGCCGGGCATCCCCCCCGACCGCGATCTGCAGCGGGCGAATAGCGCCGGCCACACGGGCGGCCATTAAAGTGAGGGCGTACTATTACGCCCGCCGGCGTTTAGAGCCGGCTCCTGCAGGGCGTAATAGTACGCCCTCCGTCCTTAAGGGGTTAAAAGGATACTCTAAACCAGAGCCACGGTTTTAACTCCTTAAGGACTGAGCCAAGTGTACACATTGTGATCAAAACATAAACAAAATCTGGAATTTGCGCTATATGTCTGATCTGTAATTCGACTCTTTCATATTATGTGCGCTCAAACTTATTATATATCATTTTATTCAGGGGACACGGCTTCCATTTAACATCAAATATTTAGGTATGAAACATAATTTAATATGAATAAAATATAAAAATTTCTGACATTTTAACTGTGAATGTCATATTGTTTGCTTTTACTGCAATAAAATACACATATTTGTATTCAGCGATGCCTCACATGTAAAACAATACCCCCTATGTACAGGTTTTATGGCGTTTTGGGAAGTTGTGAGGTAAAATATAGCGTGTTATATTTTTCAGGGTTATTTTCACATTGAAATTTGCCAGATTGGTTATGTTACCTTTGAGACCGTATGGTAGCCCAGGAAGGAAAATTACCCCATGATGGCATACCATTTGCAATAGTAGACAACCCAAGGTATTGCAAATGAAGTATGTCCAGTTTTTTTTTAGTAGCTACTTAGTCACAAACACTGGCCAAAGTTAGTGTTAATATTTGTGTGTGAAAAATGCAAAAAACTAATTTGAACGCCAGTGTTTGTAACTAAGTGGCTGCTAAAAAAAAGGATGAACATACCCCATTTGCAATACGTTGGGTTATCTTCTTTTGCAAATGGTATGCCATCATGGGGGTAATTCTAATTTTGGGCTAACATACGCTCTCAAAGGCAACAAAACCAACCTGGTGAATTTCAATGTGAAAAAACTGAAACGCAAGCCTTATATTTGACTCTGTAACTTTTGAAAATACCATAAAACCTGTACATGAGGGGTACGGTTATACTTGAGAGACTTCGCTGAACATAAATATTTGTGTTTCAAAACAGTGAAACGGATGACAACAATTATATCGTCAGGGTAAGTGCCATTTGTGTGTGAAAAATGTCACTTTTCACTGACGATATTATCGTTGTAATACATTTTACTGTCTTGAAACACTAATATTTGTGTTCAGTGAGGTCTTCCGAGTAAACCAGTACACCCAATGTACAGGTTTTATGGTGTCTTGGAAAGTTACAGGGTTAATTATAGTGCTTGCAAATTACATTTTCTGCCTGGGTTGTCAGGCATGTCAGTCAAATTTTAATTAATAAAATCACATACGTATGCTAATAGATTACTTAAATATACACGTGGGAGGAGGAGCCTGAACACCAAAGTGAACGGTTGCAAGAGCCCACAGCTCCGAGCCTCAACCGGTGAAATAAACTATCAAATTAACCCCCCTTCATCCCCAAACGACAGGAGGGTACCCTGAAGCCACATCGGGTGCAAAACCAAAAAATTATGCCAACAAGCCCACCCCAGGGCTCACAATCGGGGAGACGTGGAGGCAAGTGGACCCAGCATGGCGGCTGCTCTGATTTTTCCGAGGAGCTCTCTGAAGACATAGACAAGGAATACCTACCGTAAAACTGGTGCAGACTCCGAACCAGCAACCACAGCAATCCTCCAAGCTCTATTGGCAGACCTGCAAAAAAATATCCACACAGATGTCACGGCACTGCGAGAAGATTTAAAATGCCTGACAGGCTGCAACGACAAACTGGAGGGATCCTCTCAGTCCAACACCCAGAGCATTGCAACGCTCCAACAGGCTATACAGGACCTGCAGCTGCAGAACCAACAGTATGAACGCTGCCTCGCGAGTCAGGAGGACTCCAGGTGGAGGCTCAATGTAAAGATCGGAGGGGTCCCAGAGGAGGTACTAGAAGCTGAGTTGTTGATGGTCATGGGGCGCCTACTATCTACTATATTACCGCACAGGCAAGCCAAGACAATAACCCCTGAAAGCCTCTTCAGGGTCCCAAGCCAGCAAGAGCACCAGCTAAGGCCACGAG